TTCAGGATATTACTGGCTGTGCTAGTGTCCAGTATTACCAGTAACCATATCTTTCCATGTCTTAATATGAAACTGAGACGGCCGCTCTGTATGTTTCGGAGGCGAAGTGATAACATTGCTCTACTCTCTGAATGTCACATTTTTCTTTCCGTCACGTAGTGGTGACACATGCACTCACACAGATGTAAGCTGGCTCAGAAGGATTGGGCTGGGCACTAGATTGCTGGTTGTGACTGGGAGTCACCCAGCCCACGGGTATGCTCTCCTACCTTTGTTCTTCCCATTAGCTGTGGCAGTAGGGCAGGAATTAGTCTGACTGTCATCAAGATTCACTCCCGATAATTATCTACATTTACTGAGTTCCTACTGCGTACATGGCACTGGGCTAAGCGCTCCCACCTAGACCCTGTCAGGAAGGTGGCGCCATTGCAGTTTGAGGATGCGAGACCACACGAGGCACTTGCTTGCTCAGTAGCATGTAAATGGTAAGTGGCAGGCCTAAGGGTAGACTCTCGTTCCTGTGAAGCCTGAGGTGTGCTTTATCCACTACAATACCTTGCCTTTCATTTTGAATTCCTCTTAGTACAAGTCACTGTATGTTTCTAAATGGAGTCCAAATTGATAGTGGATTTCTCCTTTGTGTGGCACGGTCCTACTGTTACAGTGTCCCCTTTGCATGGCACTGACATACTGTTTAGTGTCAGAGTATAATCCTGGTGACAGCAGCTCAGGGATGGGACTGATTTATTAATGCCCAGGATTTCAGGGGCTACAGTGGGTTTTCATTTCATTTTATGTTATGATCCCAGAGTCCAGGGAAACATTAAAACTTCACAAGAATAAGGTTAATAATATTCATTATGATCCTTTTTCTGGACATGCTCTCCTTTTATAGAGCTGCATCTATGAAATGAGTGATCGTTAATTATTTAAATAGGAGCAAACTGTTGTAATAGTCTGCTTGGGTTGCCTTAACAAATACCATAGGGGGGTTTTAAACGACAGAGACTTACTTTCCCATCGTTCTGGATACTGTAAAGTCTAAGATCAAGGTTCTGGCAGAGCTCTCTTTCTGGTCAGACCTCTTTTCTGGCTTGCAGATGTGTGCTTTATTCTCACATGGTCTTTCCTCTGAGCGTGAAGAAAGGGAGAGTAAGCTCTCTGGTGTCTCTTTTTATAAGGACACTACGCCTGTTGGATTAGGGCCTCACCCTTATGACCTCATTTAAACATGATTACCTCCTAAAGGCCCTGTTTCACAATTCAGTCACATTGAACATTAAAGCTTCAACATACGAATTTGGGGGGGAGGCGGGGAGGGACACAGTTCAGTCCATAGCAGTTTGTTGATTATTTTCTTGTGTTCAAAACTCTTATTTCTGAATGAGAAAATATGTCTTTGACATTACCTATCATCCATAGGGAATATTTTAAATAACCTCTTAGAATAAACTTTCAGTTCTTATTAAATAATTGAAATATTTTGTGTATTACCCTTCAATTTAGAAGAGCACATGGTCCAGGATCTGCACTTGGTAATAATCCTAGCAGTCACCAGCATACTCCGCAATCATATGAGAAGTGTTGTTTGCTGTTTCACCGTTGTTTGCCTTTTCTCTGTAAAAGTGTTTAAGAGCACTGCAATAGGATCTCCACTTCCTGGTAGAAAATTGAAGTAGACTCAATTAGAGCTTGATGGATAAAGAAATATTATTCCTTTAAAAGATTATTTGAGACAAAATTTATTATTGTTATTATTATTACATCTAGCCCTGTTGTGATTTATAGCACAACCTTAAGAACACCTTTAATTTTCAGAATTGAAATCACAATGATGACAATGACAAATTTGGCAATAATAGCTAATATTTACTAAATGTTTAGTAAGTGCAGAGAACTGTTCTAAAACTACATTAAGCATAATTATTCTTTTACTCCTCACAGTGAATCTATGAGGAAGGTCCTATATTTATTCACGATTTACCCTGACAGAGTGAGGCATTGGGAGTTTAAGTAACTTGCCCAAGACCACACCCTTAGGGTGAATGAATCAGGATGTAGTTCCCAGTGAATCAGGAAGTAATTATTAAGACCCCTGGATATGTTCTAGTTATGAAAAGCACTATGGGGCGCCTGAGTGGCTCAGTTGGTTAAGCGACTGCCTTCGGCTCAGGTCATGATCCTGGAGTCCCGGGATCGAGTCCCGCATCGGACTCCCTGCTGAGCAGGGAGTCTGCTTCTCCCTCGGATCCTCCCCCTTCTCATGCTCTCTCTCTATCTCATTCTCTCTCTCAAATAAATAAATAAAATCTTAAAAAAAAAAAAAAAAGAAAAGCACTATGGTGAGTGGGGGTGGGGAGGGAGAGCATCGAAAACCTTTGCTACCTAGAAATCAGAATAGAGGAAATGAAGTTTGTGGTAGATGTCATAAGAGCAGCATTGACCCCTCAGAAGAGTCAAAACTCCTGAAGACCTTGAGGGCAGTGTTCCTCCAAGTGCCATCATAGACTGCTTGGGACCACCCAGAATTACCTGGGAGGTTTGTTCAAAATTCGGATTCCTGGGCCCCATTCTAGAATTGGTAAATCTGAATCTGAAGGTTAGAGCCCAGGAATTTGCATTTTAACTAGTACTCTCCCCCTACACACCCCCCAATATGATTCTGAAATATTTTGTAAGACCACTGCCTTAAAGGATGGATCAGTTTGGATAAACAATGATGGCAACTTTCTCAACAGAGCGACAACAGGAGCAAAGAGATGGAAGAAGCATGGGTTGTTTGGGAGGGGCAGTGAGGAAATAGGTCTAATTAGAATTAAGAGGCCATTTTGGATAGCAATGCAGAATAAGGCCACAGAAGGGTATTAAGGCCAAGTTTAGGGAGGACTTTAGAAATTAGTGGAGTTTCAGTTTAATGAGAAAATAATCGCCAATATTCATGAGCAAGAAAGTAGCCTGATGAAAAACATTATTTAAGGAAAATTAATCTGTGAACTGATGAACTCTAATTTTACAAATTTACCTTTGAAAAATTTTCTTAATATTTCATAAACAATTTTTTTCTTATTTTGTCTTTTGGCTTCTGGGATATCTTACAGGAAAAGAAAATATTACATTGTAAATGTTCTCAAAGAATCTGAATTTTTCCTCAACATGGGGTATAAAAGTCAGAGACTATGTAGTTAGAAAGCTAAGAGTTAAGGAATAGATATATCATACTGCCTGTCTCCAGGTTTCAGGGTACAAATCCATTTCTTTTTTCTGCCTAGGATCCTCATCCATTGTCAGTGGGAGTATAAATTGGTGTGACCTCTGCAGAGGATAGTATGACAATAGCTATCAAAATTTGAAGTGTATATTCCCTTGGATTCAGCAATTCTACTTCTACAGGGATGTGTTCACGTATCCAGAGATGGTTATGATAGTACAATGTCACCCCAGGTCTGAATTGGTAAAATACTGAAAACTTAGATAATCTATCAATAAGTATCTGGTTATATAAAATAACGTGTGTAGGGGTGCCTGGGTGGCTCAGTTGGTTAAGTGGCTGCCTTCAGCTCAAGTCATGATCCTAGGGTCCTGGGATCGAGCCCCATGTCAGGCTCCTTGCTCAGCAGGAGCCTACTTCTCCTCTGCCTGCCATTCCCCCTGCTTGTGCTTGCTTTCTGCCTCTGTGTCTCTCTCTCTCTGGCTCTCTCTATGTCAAATAAATAAATAAAATCTTAAAAAAAAAAAAAAAAAGATGTGGGCAAGGGAATATTATATAGCCATTAAAAAGGTTGTTGGAGTCATGTTTTATGTGTTGCTATGCAAAGAGCTCTAAGATATATTTTCAGCGAAAAAAGCAAGACACGGAGCAGAAGGTGTACTATGCTACAGTATATATGGATTTTTACTTTTTTTTTTTCTTTTACATTTGTACAGAAGGTAAAAGTGGAATATAAGAGGGCCTGGGGTTAGAGGAAGACCTTCATTTTGCCTTTTAATATGTTGTACTGTTTAAGCTTGACAGAAGTCTAAATCCATCTTTTTAAATGAACTAAAATATGTAGTATCATTGAAAGCCTGTTGAAGGTATTCCCACATAGGAAACCAGAAGATATTATGTGCACAAGTGTGTGTGATCACAGTAAATTCACCTTTAAAACATGTTAGAATTATGTTCCCCATCTGTTACTTTCGATGTGTATTCTCATAGTGTTTTTATTTATTCACTCACTTGGCAATATTTATTGAACATATTCTATGTGCTTTTACTTAAAGTAAATTTTCAAGTGGGCCTGAGAATTTCTTTAGAACCATGGGTTTTTAAACTTGGAAGAAATCTTGAAAATCAATTTCCAAGTCAGTGCATCTTCTTAGACCCCATTGTTAGCATATTAAAATTCTGCTAGAGGGCGCCTGGGTGGCTCAGTTGGTTAAGCGACTGCCTTCGGCTCAGGTCATGATCCTGGAGTCCCGGGATCGAGTCCCGCATCAGGCTCCCTGCTCAGCAGGGAGTCTGCTTCTCCCTCTGACCCTCTTCCCTCTCGTGCTCTCTATCTCTCATTCTCTCTCTCAAATAAATAAATAAAATCTTTAAAAAAAAATTCTGCTAGAAATTAACAGTGGTATTTTTTCCTCAAAATTGAAAAAAAATCTTGAAAATCAATTTCCACGTCTTTTAGGCCAGGCTTGGTAAATACAAAACCAAAGAACCCATATTTGTTCATCGTGGGCCATTAATACAGTCCTGCCTATGCAAATTTTCTTGTTTTTCTGTTAAGAGAGAGTGTGCGCAAGCAGGGTGGGGCGCAGCACAGGGAGAGGGAGAATCTTAAGCAGGCACCAGGCCCAGGGCAGAACCCCGGGGGGCGGGCTCGATCTCACGGCCCTGAGATCATCCCTGAGCCAAAATCAAAGAGTCTGACTTTTAACCAACTGAGCCACCCAGGTGCCCCAGTACTTATTCAAGTTCTGAACCTGCCTGTGCTTGATTTCCCTTGTTTTTCCTCCTGAAGCTGCAAGAGAAATAATCTGGTTAGAACGGGAAGAGCGAGCCCGGCTGCACTATGAAAAGCATCTGGAAGAGCGGAAGAAGAAACTAGAAGAACAGAGGCTGAAGGAGGAGCGGAGGAGGGCTGCTGTGGAGGAAAAGCGGAGGCAGAGGCTGGAGGAAGACAAAGTAAGAGGCCTCCCTGGGCAGTAAATGGGAGGTTTGTCTACTTCAGAAATGCAGCACATTTACGGTGAAACCTTCCATTGAGGTGCTGGGCTGCCTAGCAACATTAAGTAATCCGTTTTATAGATAGCTGCAGCTTCTAGGGTGGTTGGGGTATGGAGGGCAGGTAGCGAATGGTGTGGTGGTTAAAATTGTTTCCCTAAAAACTTTTTTTTTTTTTTTTAAAGATTTTATTTATTTGACAGAGACACAGTGAGAGAGGGAACACAAGCAGGGGGAGTGGGAGAGGGAGAAGCAGGCCCCCCACTGAGCAGGGAGCCTGATGTGGGGCTCGATCCCAGGACCCTGGGATCATGACCCGAGCCGAAGGCAGACGCTTAACGACTGAGCTACCCAGGCGCCCCTCCCTAAAAACTTTAAAAGCCCAGGTCTCTGGTCTAGAGCCATAACTTACTTAATGTTCTGTTCATCTGTGTGAAAAGTATCGTGATGACTCCCAAGTAATTGGTTTCTCCGGGGCTTTATCGCTTAACATTTTCACATAGATTGTCTCATTTAATGTGTACACAACCCCTAAGTGTTTATATATCAGTTTCTGCAAAAATGAACATGTAGACTCAGAATGAGTAAGTCACAGCTCAGTAAGTGATGGAGTCAGGATTACCCACCTGCTCAGATTCTAAATTCCATTGTTTTTTAAGATACGGTACCACATTTGTTTAGCATCTGCTCAAGCTAAGACCTGCACCACCATGCTTTTGTGAATTGATGAAAGTACCACGTTCCTGGTAATAATAACAAGGGTTGCTTATTTAAGTACCCGTGGTTCACCAAAGGCTTTATCAACGGGGACCTGATGATTTCAGTAACCCTCCCAGGCTGGCGTGTAAACGTTAGGAGGTAGGAGTACTAGGGTAAAAATCTCAGTAGTGCCTTTACTCCATTCTGCCTTAAGTTGAAGAAGCCTCGGACAACCAGGTTGAATCTAATCATCCGCTCCTCCTCTGTTCCGTTTAAGGAACGCCATGAAGCTGTTGTACGACGGACGATGGAAAGGAGCCAGAAGCCAAAACAGAAGCATAACCGGTGGTCATGGGGAGGCCCTCTCCATGGGAGCCCCAGCATCCACAGTGCAGGTAAACAAGCCGTGATCGCTTTCAAATATCACTACTTTTTTCCTGGACAGCAAAAGGGCAGTTGCTTCTTTCTTCTAAGCCTGTGTTTCCAAAACAAAAATCATGGGCTGAAATAATTAAACTGTAAATGATGCTCCTACTGTTTGAGGATAAGAGGGTGATGGAGGTCAGAAGATAAGGTTCCTCTCCCTTAACACAGGCTGCTTTTCTCTTTTGTTACACAATTCCCTCCAAGAGATAGAAATCTATGCAGTGTTTCTAAGTAAACATGCAGTTTGCATGCTACATTATTTTAAGTAATCATTTGCATTAAGATTTCAGGATGATGGAAGAAGTTAACCGATTTTATCATCTTCTCTGGAAGAATCATAGCAGTATTGACTGATCAAAATCAATACCATACGCAAGTATTAGGACCCTAAAGGGTGTGCAGGGTTAATGCTCTGCAGGAGAAAGTGCAGGTTCTGAACCTAGAGCCAGTGAATGTCTCAGCCATTCCCTCATTCTTGAATGGACATAAAATCGTACTGAAATTTGGACCTAATGAGAGGCTTTATTTTTGTACTGTAAATTCAATACACTTTGAATTTTATATAGTGTGTCAGTTCTTTTTCGTCTGTGTTGAGTCTGTGTGCTGTTTTTTATTATTATTTATTTTGAAAAATCATTGTCTTACATTCTGTCCCCAGGTGGTTTTGTTGAATCATCATTCACCTTTCTCGATTTAGCAGGCCTGGACCACCACCTCACAACTCTTGGTAGTACTAGAAAAGCTGGTACAGACATCCCTGTGGTTGCTGATTGCCTGACCTGTAGCTAGCACCTCCGACCTAGGGCCGGTCCATCAATAGCTGAACCATCACCACCTTAGGCATAATGCATGCTTACTATCCCATTGCATAGACCTAGATCTGGGATGTGGCACAGTGTTTCTTAAGTGCGACGGTACAACTCGGGTGACTGGAAGGTGTTGAAATAATGCAATGACATGTGATGTGTTTACTTTCTAAGTGATGATTTTGGATAAAACCCTTAAAAAGTGTTTTTTTTAGTTAATAAATTACCTGGGTTCAAAGTACATCCAGTTTGCTCTCCCCTACCCCACCCCATCCCCACCCCTGTCTGTTTTCTGCTCTTAGTTTTATTTTATTTTACTTTATTTTATTTTATTTTAAAGATTTTATTTATTTATTTGAGAGAGAGAATGAGAGAGAGAGAGCACATGAGAGGAGGGAGGGTCAGAGGGAGAAGCAGACTCCCTGCTGAGCAGGGAGCCCGATGCGGGACTTGATTCTGGGACTCCAGGATCATGACCTGAGCCGAAGGCAGTCGCTTAACCAACTGAGCCACCCAGGCGCCCTCTGCTCTTAGTTTTAATCTAGAAAACCATGGATTGTTGTTTGCTCTATTCTTTCATTCCTAACATTCAGTGTGCCCAGTAGAAGCTCTTTATTTTAAAAATTCTAAAATCATATTATCACAACTTCCTTTCCTCTGATGTTGAACCGTATTTGCAAGCACTTTTTTTGTTCTTCCCTTGGCTCTTAGTGACCCAGTGGTACTTGGTGGGGGCACGTGGCAAATCTGTAATCATAAGGCTTATTTATGTGTGATATTTTATTCTCGGGGCAGTTTTATATATACGCTCCGTACAGGAAAAGCTGTCATGGTATGTATCTTTATAACCTTACTTTTATTGCTTCCACACTCAGAGTTTAGTATATGGCCTTTATTTCTGCCACTCGGAGCACGAGAAGCTAGTGTTGTATTTGTTAGCTCTTGGATAATATCCATTTTTATAAGGGCTGTGAATTAGAAAAAAATTGCTGTTGTACAAGAACAGAGAAGTTGGGGAAAATAACTGGACTTTGCCAAAATTCTCAAAGGTCACAGTGATCTGCTGTGATCTGAAGAGCAGTGACCTGGCCTTACTCATTTATAACAATGCCTCACTCAGGATGGGCACTCAGTGTTTGCTGATCAAAACACAGATCTTAGAAATTAAATTTAATCCAGATTAAATCAGTGTGATGCCTTACTGCTCACACATCAACTAGCACTGGTTTGTAAATTTTTTTAAACGGATTCTTCCTAAATCCTTTCGTGAATTTGTACTTGAGCGCAAAAAAAAGAAATGATTAAAAATGGTCTTATTATATTAAGTAATAGAATAAATACACATTATACCTCCATCATTTTCACCATGCAGAGTAGGCCTGCATGGAGACACGATGTCCCCCAGCTGAAGCTTAACATAGAAAAACAAGATCAGAAAATGTATTGCTGTCAATCATCCAGAAATGGCTTTTGTTATCCTTCCTTGTGTCCCCTGGACCTTACATTTCATCATTAAGATGTTCCTTTTGATATTTTATCCTAAATCTTCAGGATTGCCCCAAGAGCCTATCAGTTAAGGGTTAACTGACGTCACAGGCTCGATGTCTGGGTTTGTTTGTTTTATAATTGAGTTGCTTCAACCATACAAATGCGTCCCAGTAGAGATAGGAATGTCTGATGTTGGTAGAAGACTTGTTTATCCCCCATACGCTGTAAATAATGGCCGAAAATGGTTATTCTGTAGAGGGACATTTACTATAAAATTTTTGACTACCAATGTTACTTAGACCAATGGGAACTGGGTTTTAAAGGCATCTACCACAAGGATTATTTTTTGTTTTTAGTTTTAGAAGAAGCTAACAATAGAAAACAAAATATGGCAAAACCCTTTTAACTTTGGTCATAGGTCAGAACATCCACTTGCCCTCCTAAAGAAATATAAGGAGATTTTTAGACTTTTATTCTATGCAGTTTTATTCAGGGAACATGATCTATTCTAATGAGCCTGGTTACAGCTTGGTTCCACCGTACAGACAGCAAACTAACAGAGCTAGTTTTTGTCATGTATCTTTTCGCTGAACTTTAAGAATTACTATGAAATTACTCACCTACAGGAATTATTTAAGTTATTATTAATAAACTTAATTCTGATTTTCTTTCTATTGCCGTCAGTTTTGTTGGGCAAGTTTGTGGGCCGATTCTGTATTTGGAAACCGCCCGAAACTCAGTGTTATAGGCAGAGGTGTGGTAGTTCGTAGACTTTTTAAAAAGAAATTCTACGGTGGCCATCCGTTCCACACCTAGAGTCCTTCTTCTTCTTTCTTTTTAATCTGTTTTTCTGTAACGAACTTTAACGCCCTGGGTAAAGTGACTCTACAAGAAAAAGTAGCAGCCATGCATAGAACCTGGAGTTCTTTTTTTTTCTTTTTCTTTTTCTTTTCTTCTAGTGTTTGCATTCTATTTCACCAGCCCCATTTCTACCCCCTTGTTCCTAGTGGGGGAAATTGTAAGGGCCAGACCCATTTCTCACCCCTTGTTCCTATTGGGGGCAATTCTAAGGGCATCCACTTTACAATCCCCTCTTTGCTGTACGGTCTGCCCCGTTATTTTAGTTGCCCTCCACTGGCCTTGGTCCTCATCTGTCTGTTGTATTATAACAAAATGCTTGAATTTCCCTGGCTGACAAACTGGTGTACTAAATATTTCATCCTATGAGAAAAATGAATTTTATTTCTAACCTTTAAGTTACCTTTAAATGTCCACTTAGAAAACTGTGCTATTACATAAGATCTAGTAATAGAGCTGAAAGCATCCAGTCCTAGTTTTTCCTTCCTTCAGTGAACTAGGAAATTGCACTCCTGCATGCTGGCTGTCAATTAGCATTATCTCCATTTGTTTTAGATCCAGACAGGCGGTCAGTTTCCACCATGAATCTTTCGAAACATGTTGATCCCGTCATTAGCAAGCGGCTCTCCTCTTCATCTGCAACTTTACTAAATTCTCCAGATAGAGGTACAGTCAAAAGGAAAACAAAAAAAAGTGTTCTGTTATTTACTTAATGCTTTTTTTTTCTGGATGTTTACAGCTAAAAATAAGCATCTGAAGTTGCTTTCCCTACGTTTCTTAAATAGGAAGAACAAAACTTCAGAGTAAAAAAGCAATAAACGGCTGAGCAGCATTTCCCTTGCGACAAGAACCTTGCTCATTTTAGAACTTGGCTGAATGGTTGCATTTAGCAGTGATGAAAGCGGTGCTTCTCAACTTTTTAGTAAATGAGTTTACAGCTCCAGAAATCACCCACTTATCCACCAACATGCAAATAATCTTTGTTACGAACATTTATTTTACTTCAATCATGTTGTCTTTGACTTTTCATCTGTACTTTGGGAATTCCAAGCTTTGACTTTCTAAAAAATCTTGAATGATTCATGTTGGTAGATTTCATTTTGCTATTTGATTTCTAATTTAACTAAACCTTGCTTACTGCATCTCTTGTGTGTGTGTGTGTATGATTGGTTGTTGGTGTCCATTCATTTTGCTCTTAAGGGATTTGGTCTAACTTCAAGAATATCATCATTGAAGCCTCCTACAACTTTTAATAATCATAGTCCTCCAATTATTGTTTTATTTGAATTTTGAGTTTTATTCATCTCATGGATTTACAGTACATGAATGTTGAGTTATTTATAAAATTAAAGTTTTATTTTACATATTTATATATCATAAAAGAAAAATCAAGTTTTTAAGATAAGCTATGGTTTTACAGAACTTAAAGTGATTTTAAGTTAGAAAGCCAAAGAATTATTGTGCAATATAAAAACACATACTCTCTAAAAGTAACATATTGTGGTTATTTTGAATGATTTATTAGAAACTGATTGAGAAACATTCAGTGTTTATAGTCTTTTAAAAAAATTCAATGTGTGCATGTTCTGTGTGTATGTGTATTCATATATTTTGTATTGTATAAAAGTTGTGTCACTGTAATGTACAGTACTATACGTGTTGATGTTATTTTATAACTAATAACTAATCTCTTAAAGCAGTAAATGTTGAATGATTTCCTAATCTTGCCTTTTAACCTAAAGCATTCCTTTTTTTTTTTTTTTTAACTAATTTGCCTGAATCATCGATATTAGACTTCTAGTCAAATTGGGGGCCTTCTATATGTTAGAGAAAAGTATTATGAATTAACATTCCTTTCGTAAATAGCCTTTATTTTCAAACTCATTCCCTTAGTATAAAATATAGCATATGAGTGCTGTTCTTAGAGTTGTCTACTCATCTTTTCTTTGGATTTGATCACTTACTCAGCACTCTGATTTTATACTTTTGTGAACCTATGTCTAAGACAAACTACAATTGGGATTTTACAATACTTTGAAGTCAAACCTTACCTACTGCCTCCTGCAGTTCCACAGCTGAAATTGGGGTAGATGGGCAATAAACCAAACAATATCCTGCCACCCTTCTATGGGATGACAGTGATTTGTCAACTAGTCTGCCTGATCATATCTGATTGTATATTCTTAATAGGATCTTAAAACTGGGAGAGTTTTATTGGATGGCTCATCTGTTCCAGTTGGGGTAACAGAGTTCCAGAGATGACTGCAGAGGTTAAAGACCCGATTTAATAGCCTACAAACTAATTGTTGGAGAAGAGGGTCTAGCACAGAGATTGCCAGCTCCTAACCTGTGTTGTTGTTACGCTGCATCTTCAGTTCTTACTTTCATGGATGTCCTTCCTTAGATCAACCCTGACTTTATACGTTCTTCCTTTGAGTGAGGCTAAGGATCAAGGGAAGTTCAACAGCCAGGTCCAGGAAACTGCCCCTTGAATCATGGGGCCTATCAGATCGAATCCTAAGCTAGACTAATAGGATCAGAGGAAGAGCTCTAAATTTGGGAGTTCTGCTGCTCTGCCCCCTTGTCAAAAGAACTGTGAACCACCAGTTCCTGGATCCAATAGGCCAGGTCAAGTTTGGCCACGAAGGAAGGTTCAGTTCATCCAGGAGCTCCCATATGGTCCAGGAAGCTTTTTTTTTTTTTTTTTTAAAGTTAGACAAAACTTTCAGTAGAACCGTGAGGGGGCTAGGCCTTTTAATGAGAATAGAAATTCTTCTGAATTTGAACTTCTCTAATTTATAAATTTAAGTAACTTAATTTTCTTTTCTGCCCTCATTTTTTTCTGCCATCTATTTTTAAAAGTTGGTTATGCTTTATTAAATTAGGAAGCATTCTTATCAAATTATTAAATTAGAGGCTTTTACAGACAAATCTATTAAAGGGTGTACACCATTTACTAGATTGTCTGAGCTTTCTCAGCTCTATAGCACAGGCCTTCAAACTGATCTTAAATTGAGGCTCTGATGTGATCAAGGTTGACATTCAGCCAGAATGCTCTCCTGGTTATTAAAAATACTGAAATATTTCCATACCAGTTGGTAAATACTCATTTCCCCAAGCTGTGCTTCCCCAGGTCCTCCATCCTCCAGAGCTAATGCATGGCATCCATTAACTCTGTGCCTATGCCCTACTTGTTTTTAAATATTTTGATTATCACACTTGAATATAGTGTCACACAGACTGAAAAAATGACCTGAGTTAAAAGAAACCTCTGATTACCAAAGATTTTTATAATTGCTGCAATAGAGAGAATTTTGCCACTGGAAATTTTTGCGTTAAAAATGTGTGTTTCTTAATATTCTTAAGCTAGCTACCTACTTAACCAGATTTTTCTCAAGGAAGGATAAGGAGTTTCAGAAAAAAGCAAGAAATGAAATTGCCTACAGTTTGCTTAAAATTAGTTCATACATATTTCCCTAGAATCTAGATCACAGGCAGGTTCTGTTTGACTGGAGTAGGGTTTTGTGTTCTTGTTTTAATTTGAATTCACTGCCATCATTCTTTAAAAATCAAATAGCTCCTACAGCATTTGGATTTCCTACTTCTCGTGAACTACCAGGATCTGGCAACACTTGCCTGATTTTTGCATGGCACCCATCGGAAACTGAACAGTGATTTCCTGCGTATGGAAGATTGGGGTAGTACAGATATCTATTTGTATGCCTCCCCTGGTCCAGATGGTCTGTTACAGGAATCATCAGTATCTCATTTTTAAGTGATTAAGTAGGATCAGTACTAAATATTGTTTCATGAGAATTAATATCTCTTCCTTCAGAGGCTTGTCATCTTAAAATCAGGTGCCTCTAGGTGGTGGTGGGGGGGACAATAAACCAACTCTCCTGTCCTGACCTTTACTAAAATTATCTTCTGAAAGAGATCTCTCTCTCGTTCAGGGCACAGTAATGAACGCAGAAGTGGAAACATGTTCCTTCTGGCAAAATCTTTCATTCACGCTGTTAGATCTGTAAAACAAATCTCTTCGGATTTGCTTTAAACACAAGAGGGTTTTGAATCTTCATTTGAGGCAAATTCTTTGGTTGATGCTTTAAAGACTCACAGAAATAAAGTTAATGAACTTCTTAATCCCGGGGGAAAGAAAAGACCTGTCTTCTCAACGGTAAACCGTCTCTGCACTTGTGAGCCAGTCATCCCGCAGAGTTTATCAAGGAAAGGAAGCATTCCTCTGTTCTTCCCCTTCTCATCTACTAGAAAAAAAAGAGTTCTGTTGAAGATTTTCATTTCATCCTCCTCACTCTTCCCCACTGGTTTTCTTGTGTGACTGTATTCTACTTTTAGTTTACACTCAGTTCCATTGTTGGTGCTCACATACACACACTGCCATATTATAGTGTATAACAGCCCTTGTTCTGCTGTCATTCTGCCATGTAACTGTTACTCTATTATATATGTAAAATTGTATATATACAACATATACATATTTATATAATCCTTTTATTTACGTCTGTCAGATAAGATTTAACTGTGAAGACTCTCCTAATAACAGAAAATCTAATAAATAATTCACTAATTCTTAAATTCACTGCAGCCTTGATCAAAATAACCACTTTTTAAAAAATAAAGTCAGGTAATTAAGGTAATTACTGGAGGTTGGTAGTTCCTTTCAAATAGGAGCAGATATTTCCTATGCCAACATTTAATATCAGATAACTTCTGTTAACTAAAACTAGTTTTTTAGAGTTTAAATGTCATCCCTTAAAATACAACATATAAAAGGTTATTGAGAGAACAATCGCTCCAGAGGCAAGAGGATTTGCACCTGCCGTTTATGATACAGAACAGAACTGGCCTTGTCAGGTTTAGACAGTTTTAAAGATTTTTATCAGTGACTTGGGAGTGTGCCCTGAAATAGAGATGTATGGTTACCTTACTTTAATGATACTTGTAGGATTTTGCAAGCTTCTTCCCTGATATTTTTGGAAGGTAGCTTCTATATTTTCATAGGCCACCACTGGAAGCTAACAATATAAGTGAAGTCATTAATTTATAATTAGCATGCATTTCCTAACAGTGGTCTTGCCACCAAGCCCCAGTACAGTTTGGGACTATATTCACTGCATTATTCTAAATTTATTTTCTGGACTCTTCACACACCCACTAGTAATTTCTCACATTAAGTTTATATTGGATTTTGGTTTTCTGTTTAATTTCATCTTGCTTTAGCTTCACCCTTATCCTCCACCAAAATGTTTATGTTGTTGCCAAACAGGGACCTGAAAGAACATGGCTTGCCGAGTGGAAAAGTCAAAAGGAAATCCCAGACAGAACTTTGCATGAGCCCTCCTTCCTTTTATTAGATCTAATTTCCCCCCAGTTGACAAAGTAGCAGTTCATGGACGTCTAGCAAAATGTAATGGAGAGCCTTTCTGTCTGCATTTATATAGAAATGCAGTCTTGCATTACGCTGCCAAAGCCTGTGTTGGAGTTGATTATACAGCATACTTAGGAAGCCCCTTGGCTGAGGTGTGTGCCATTAGTCCCCTGCCCGTCCTGATTAGGCAGATAGGTCCAACTACATGCCAAACCTGACGGTGACGTTGATATTTCTGTTTTGTTACCTGTTCACTCCTAAAGGAGGGGTTTAGCAAGATCTGCATCCATAAAACTAACATAGAGCCCATCACAAAGTTAACATCTTGAAGAAAGGCAACATTATGGAATAGCTCCTCCTCTGGGCAGAGTTCCTGTCTCCCAGACCCTAATTCCTGCTGTCCTCCCTGGAGAGCCTCGTCTCCTGAAGGCCTGGCACATGAGCAATAAGTATGATGCTTTTGCCCCGCTTGCCCCCCCAGAAAGAATTCCTCTAACATCTTGCTTATGTGGTGACGTCTAGCTCGCCGCCTGCAGCTCAGCCCATGGGAGAGCAGCGTTGTTAACAGACTGCTGACGCCCACACATTCGTTCCTGGCCAGAAGTAAAAGCACAGCGGCCTTGTCTGGAGATACAGGTAAAACTGTCAAAGTGCAACTTTCTTAGTGAGGTAAAGTCCTCCTTTTAAAGCACACCTGAGCCACCCCGGTCCATCTAATTATGTCTCAGGCTTCCCCATTGTGTTTGCTTCTCTTTCCCTGGGTGCAGTGGCTTTCGATATGTCTGTTGGTGTTGGTTTCACGCTCCTGGTACTGTTTCCTCTTCGCCTCTTATCTGGACACCAGATGCCAGGCAGACAGAGGATGCCCCTCCTTGTGATCAGATGGCTTCAGATGCTTCTGTGTGTTTGTAACCTCACCAGAAAAACCTACCCCTTCCCTGCCTTTCTCTCTGCCCCTGCATCTGAGCAGACCATCAGAGGTAGATATGATTTAATATTTAATACTGATAGATGGACTTGAGACTAAAATCAAAGCCCAGGTCGATTTAAGCAAGAGTTTCATGATGTGGCTATGGCCTAGCAACTTCTGCCTGTACCAGGCTTTCATATGTAATCTAGGAATTAGTACCCTCTCAAATCTCTAAGAGCTGTGGAGAAGGCTAATTACAGTCTTCTTCTTTGTTACATACTTTGAAAATATGGAGAATGTGCCAAGTACTGGTTATTATAATTAGTTATCACTCCTCTATGTTTTTGAAATGCAAAGCATGCCTGAATGAGTCAATTAGTTTAATGAGAAGTTAGTGTAGAGCCTAGATCTAGCTGGAAAGAAAGATGCATCTTCAGCTTTTGGCAACATCTCTTTTGTGGTGAGTTGATTTGGTTTTTCCCAAATATTTCTGGGCACAATAGGTATATCTCTGTAAGCAGCCCTTAGCAGCCCTTGTCTTGGCACTTGGGAAATTACATAGTCTCTTCATAAAGTTCCCTTTCAAAATACTTTGCCTCTGCAAGTTTCTTCATGTTCATTAGCCATCTTTGCAAATCATTCTTGGTGGTTTTATGATTTTTTTTCATCTCTGGTGCCCAGTGAGCTAATAACAACCCTAATTCTCACAATACCCCCAGGAGGCAGTCGAAAAACCAAGTGCAGACATTCCTACCACCTGCTTGTGGAAACCAAGTGCAGTGACAATAAGTGACTTATACCAGAGCCACTTAGAATTCTAATTGGTGGACTGGGTCTTAAACATGCTTACCCCCTCCATCCTCGGTGCTTGGAGTGATGCTCTGTGTACAGTTGTGCATTCAATTAGCTGGACCACAGCGTTCTGTGTTTTCTGTGAAGGAACTCTCCTGTCAGCTGTCACATCGCATCTGAGATTTTTCCTGGGGAGAAAGTACAGCTAATTTCAAGATAGTTTACTTTCTGTCTGGGAATGTCATACTCTTACACAAGTCATGAAAGTTTTTCCAAATGTCCAGCTAATTGAAGAAACTGTAACATTGCTTTTAGTCCTGTTTCGTAGGATCTAAATAATTTAGGGCTCTCATGCTTTGGAATCTCCACCTCGTTTGTTGTTTCATACTGAATGACTGCCTCGCAGCTGAAAAAGTGTCTGTCTTTGCTGTTTCTGTCACCACTAACTTGTGTCAATTCTTTTCGCTTCTCCTCCGGTCCTTTACAACATCATTCACTCATTCTCCACCCACTCTGCCGGCCCATCTTCCCACATTCTCTCTTCACTGTTCTCAATCGGGGTGCTTTTTACCTGCTAACTGGCTGTTCTTTACTTTGCATCTTTCCCATTCTCCTTTTCACAAATGGATACATTTCTGTAATTTATTTTACGGTGAAGCAGTGCATAGGCCTTTACTTGAGTTGTCGCTCTTATTAATACATTCCTTAGATCATTGTTACCTTATTGTTGCATTGATACAGCTTATATTTAATGAACCAAAACTGTTGTTTTAATTTTTTTCCATTTGAAATTATATATGTAAACATCCCTTATGTTTATCTTGTCAAAAACACTGTATTCATCTCTTTTCCTTTTTCCATCTGCTCTCCACGATTATTCTTCCTTGTCTTTCCATTTTACTGTTGTCTCTTGAGTTCATCTTATATCTGGTTGCCATTGGCAAGAGGATGACCTACATCCAGAGCCAGGGTTACAAGAGCAGATCAAAACAGCCATCTTTACCCCTAGGGTGTTTGGTAATTGCAAACTCCCAGAACAAGCAGTAAGAGCACTTGAAATTTGCAAGAGTCTCCTACCTCTCATTTGTGACCACTGCTTTGGGTCGACTTCTAAGTGCCCTTTTTTTTTTTTTTTAAGATTTTATTGATTTATTTGACAGAGAGAGACACAGCGAGAGAGGGAACACAAGCAGAGGAAGTGGGAGAGGGAGAAGCAGGCTTCCCATTGAGCAGGGAGCCTGATGCGGGGCTCGATCCCAGGACCCTGGGATCATGACCTGAGCCGAAGGCAGATGCTTAATGACTGAGCCACCTAGGCGCCCCTCCACACCCATTTTTTTAAAATACATTTAAAATACATGTGATCATTACGGCTCAGGGTTAAAAGAGTTGATACATATAAAATGTTTAGAATAGTACCTGTACATAGTAGGCCCTCAATAAATGTTATTAATATTATTATTTTATAAATTTTCTATTGTCTGTGCTATACTCCAGCCACTTGTACTGCATTATCTTTTCTCTGCACCTTTTCATATATAGTTCATTTAGAAGATCTTGAATAAGTTAAATTAATGCACACTTGTTACCAAGAGTAGAAGGAAATAGAGATATTATAGAAGACTTTCTACTGGACACTCCATAGAAGAATCTTCATGTTTAATAAGACTACTTTAGGATACCAAGAGCACTCTGGGAACATCAAAATACTGTATATTATTGTTCTTACTCTTTTCTTCAGAAGGGCAAGATAATTCCAGTAAATGATTTAAAGGTTTCAGGTTTTTCAGTAGTTGCTATTCACAACAACAGCCCATTCCATGAAACCTAATGTCCTTAGAATTTACAGTGTTTGTTTTAGCCAGACGATGTTCCTTGAACAATTAAATTTGAGGATTTTTGTACAAACTGCACTTAATAGATTTAAGGATATTTTCTCCCTTTGCTTAATATTACCTCAGCGCTGTAATAAAGAATGAACCACAGGGGTGATGCGATTGGCTTAGATCCATGATCATCTCAGGAAATGCTCCCTAGATACCCCTGAAATTATTTTCCACTGGAGGAAAATGAACTCCCATTTCTGTTTCCTTTTTCCTGTCAGACCCAGGCCTCAGAGCAGGGCTGTGGTCTAGGGTTTCTTGATTTTGGAGCAAGGTAAATGGCCTCTGGCTGTGCCCTGGGTGGTCGGTGCCTCTCCTGGTCATTAATCCCACAGAAGTACCTTGTGCCAGGATCTTATTCTTTAAATGCATTTGATTGGCCTGGAAGAGTTTTGCATTATTGAATTCTTCCGTGTCTGGGAAATGCAAATGCTTTGTGTGGCGCTTGAAAAGGGTTATTTTCAAATAGTTTCTTTCCCCTGTGATCACAAGAAGCCAAATGAGAGTAGGTTCTCCTTTCTCACAAAAAAAAGGAATCTTCCTTCACCATTAAGTTCTGAAGCAAAGTTTATGTGAACTCCCAAGTTAAGATACACATATTCTTTTAAGGAGGACTGAGGGGGAATGTAAAACATTTTAGTTTATCCTGAAGCCATAGTTCTGTTTTCAGAGGATTGGAAAAGAGAATGCAATTTCCAGTCCATTCCCTGCCTTGACCATTTAGCGATACCAGAAGATAATGCAAATCGTTTAATAAGAGAGCATGTAAATAAATAAGAAATCTGATCAACTTTCTGTCTGTAAATGAAACCAAAATAACATTTTTAACTCTATAATTCCAAAATTCGTAATTTGCCTTGTGAACTTATTGAGTTTTTATTAGTAAATACTATTATACTTAGCTGAAATAATGGTCTTTTTAAAAGTTTGCTACAATGGCAATAGGTACGTAAAGTCATTTTATAACATCATCCAAGTACATAGTATTCTCCTCAGGAGTCATGTTTAATTGTCTTTTTTTTTTTTTTTTTTGCTGGAGGATAAGATTTCTGGGCGAGATCTGAAAAATGAACCTTGGAACCTTAGAACCCACACTTTTTTGTGTGTAGTGGTTTATGAACTTCCTTAAACCCATTTTTTGCCCAGAATCACTTGGTTAATGACAATGTTCCTGTGAAGGTGAATAGTCAGAAACTGTGATTTAAAAAAAAAAAAAAAATACCAACCTGAGTAAAACAGTAAAAGCTATTCACGATTCAATTTTATTTTTGGCAGTCCTAACATATGTATGTTCTATTCAGCATTTGAAATGATTACATCTCATCTCCCCATACCTTCTACTCCTTGTTAATAAACCATCAAATGCCTTGGCTTTTTGGGAAAACCCAGAAGCCATGCATCTGATTTGGCTTTAAATAGACAAAACAATTATTAGTTATCCTTATAACACCTAGTAAGACTTGGTTGTTTAACACTGTAAAAATCCCGTTGCTTTTTTTCTACTGGCTGTTGAACCTTACTCCTGAAATAGTTGGCGTCAGTCTTGCTTGCCTGCTTGCTTACTTCCTGTCTCTCCACCTTCCGTCCCATCTTAAAGCTAATTAGGAAAAATCTGATTATAAACAGTCCTTATATAAAAATGATCTGTCACTTAATGTAGTGTTTTACCAGAACCATCAGCTCATAGGAATATAAGCCCATTGCTTTCCTTAATTATTAGACTACATCTGTATCTTTCATCACTATTTAAATAGCCAAAGAACTCACATAGTCTAGATTTTTCACTTGGACATGGCTTCTTTTTGGACACACCGTAAACTGATGGGACTGTGAGGAGAGTTGGAATATGATGGTTCTGGACACCTTTAGGTAATAACTTCTTCTCCCTACTTTTCTCTCTATCTCTGCTTTGCTCCTTTTCCTGAACCTGCTTTTGGCTTTCCTTCAACTGCTCCTCTGGCACTCTTGTGTGTAAAACAATCACCTACACCCTAGTTATCCCCATTTGTCCTCGTTCAGCATCTTGCAGCCCCATCAACATCATGCCCTCCAAAGCTGCACACTCTAGAAATCTGACGGATCGGCCAAAATTCTTGGTAACGCCACCGGAGGGCTCAGCGCGAAGGAGGACGGCTCACGGCACTGTGGTGAGTAGCCGGTGGGAGCCGCCAGGCGGGTCTGTGCCATTTCTGTGCAGGGTGGACACCAGCCCCGGCTGCCGTGTGGGTGTCAGAGTGGGAGGTGCCCACACCTGGGTGGTGTCCCCGCGCTTCCTCTCCACTTGGGAGTTGGGCTCCCCATAAAAATGTGAATTTGAGGATGAAAACTATTCTCCGTTCAAGGGCATGCGTGCGGCTGAAGTACCATATGGGGGCCTGTGTACGACTAAAGGCGACGCCAGCACGCTTTTTCATGTTTGCAAGTCAGAAAGCCCCGGAAGGGGGTGTGGGCCTCAACGGCTGCCTCTGCCTCTGCCTCTGCATTTTATTAAACCATATCCAGGAGCTGGCTGAACTCTAAATGTGGTTCACCAAAAAGCAAAATAAAGAATTTTTGTCTGCTTAGCTAATCCCTGCCAAGGCCCAAATCCTACAATATAGGAACAAAGTATTTTGAAAACACTAGTGATTTGCTAGGTAACGAATTCTTGAAAGGCAACTGGGCTGTGTTATAGACTCAAATTTTGCAGGTGAAGAATATAATTTGTACTTGTAATTACTGGCAAGGTGGCTGAGCTAACATGAGTTTTCACCTATAATTAATTTCGTGCCATAAATGCAATGAGGTAACTTGTGTGTCTCTAAGAGTCTTTCTTCCTCAAACTGTGTGTTATTTAGTATCTGTTGAAAGAAGTAGATAGGGGGCGCCTGGGTGGCTCGGTCAGTTAAGCGGCTGCCTTCGGCTCGGGTCATGATCCCAGGGTCCTGGGATCGAGCCCCACATCGGGCTCCCTGCTCCGCGGGAAGCCTGCTTCTCCCTCTCCCACTCCCCCTGCTTGTGTTCCCTCTCTCGCTGTGTCTCTCTCTGTCAAATAAATAAATAAAATCTTTAAAAAAAAAAAAAAAAGAAGTAGATAAGGTTGTGTGGTCTTCTCTTAAAGGATTCCCCAGTCAACCAGAAGATCCCATTGCCTCTCTCGCATGGGAATACCATAACCTGTTTAATGAAAGGCTGAACAATTTTTTTTTTTAAATCTTAACTTCCCAGCGATTTATAAAGCTGATGGACACTTAAAAGGATTTTGCTTAGATGTTTGAGAATAATTTGAAGGTTGTGTGAGAGCTTGATGGCTTTGTCTCTAGGCAGTTTTCTTCCAAGCCCCAGGCTTTCAGGAATCAGTGTTTAATTCCTGATTGAGCCAGACCTCCAGCCCCACAAGGAGGTCTTGCAAGTGAAGCTTGGAGGTGAAACTACCTTTGATGTCTGGGTAGTTGTTCATCATTAGCTCATGAGCTTCAGAGAGCCTACCTGTGGATAAAAAGCAATACTTAGAAGAGCTTTGCCCCCAAAGGTTGGGGACTTACTGAAGAGGGAGAAGCACTTAGCAAAGGAAAAGCATCTTGTTATGGATAAAAACACAACCTAACACACCAGGAGGAAAGGATGAGAGCTGACCCTTGGTCAACAGATTAAAGGAGAGGGATTTGTCATCACATGATTCAGAAGCTGCACTTTCTCACCCATTTTAATTTTTTTTGATGCCTTCCTCATCCTGTATTTGATTTATTCATCATCTTTTCACCTCTTTACCAAATACTTAGGCAAATACCTATTTCCAGAAGTGACTCACAAGTCTTTTATACCCCAGAGCTGCCCTGTGGAATTCAGTTGAGCCACCAGCGACCTGTGGTCATGGAGCGCTTGAAAAGTGGCTAGTGAGAATGACAAACAGAATTTTAAATTTAATTTCCTTTTTAAAAATGTTTATAGTAAAAAAAAAGTAACAAAATTTACCATCCTAACTATTTTTAAGTGTACATTTCAGTAGTGTTCATATTGTTGTGCAGCCTATCCCCAGAACTAATTAAATCTTGCAAAACTGAAACTATCCCCACTGAACAACAACTCCCCATTGCCTCCTCTCCCAACCCCTGGCAACCCACCATTTTACTTTCTGTTTCTTTGAATTTGACTACTTTAGACACGTCCTATAAATGGCATCATACGGCATTTGTCCTTTTATGATTGGCTTATTTCACTTTGCATAATGTCCTTAAGGTCTGTCCATGCTGTAGCATGTGACAGGATTTCTGTCCTTTTTAAGGCTAATAATATTCCATTGTATGTATGTATGCACATACACACGAACACACACGTACACATACGCCACATTTTGTTAATCCATTCGTCTGCTGGTGGACATTTGAGGTGCTTCTGCCTCTTGAATATGAATAGCACTATGAATAGCCCTGCTGTATACATGGGTAGTAAATATCTCTTCAAGATCCTGCCTTCAGTCCTTTGGGGTATATACCCAGAAGTGGGATTGCTGGATTTTGTGGTAATTTTATTTCTAATATTTTGAGGAACTGCCATACTGTTCTCCATAGCAAATGCACCATTTTACTTAGAGTCCCACCAACAGTATAGAGGGGTTCCACTTCTTCCACATCTACACCAACACTTGTTATTTTCTGGGTTTTTGTTTATTTTATAGTGGCCAACCTAATGGTGTGAGGTGCTCTAATGATCAGTGATGATGTTCAACATCTTTTTATATGTTTGTTGGCCATTCACATATCTCTTTTGAAGAAATATCTATTCAAGTCCTTTGCTCATTTTTTAATCTTATTCTTTAATTTGTTTACTCTTTAATTTTTGTGTTGAGTTGTAGGATATGTACATATTCTGGATATTACATTTTCTGGATATTAATCTCTTATCAGATATATGATTTGCAAGTATTTCTCTTATTCTGTAGTTTACTTTCTTACTCTGTTGATCGTATCCTTTGATGCACAGGAGTTTTTAAGTTTGATGCAGTCCCGTTTGTCTATTTTTGCTTTTATTGACTGTGCTTTTGGTGGCATATCTAAGAAATCCTTCGTTACAAATCCAGCGTCATGAAGCTTCCCATGTTTTTTTGCAGGAATTTTATAGTTTTAAGCATTAAATTTAGGTCTTTAATCCATTTTGAGTTTTTGTATACGGTGTAAGGTAAGCATCCAACTACATTCTTTGGCATGTGGATATCCAGTTTTCCCAGCACCATCTATGGAAGAGACTGTCTTTTTCCCCACTGAGTGGTCTTGGCACCCTTATTGAGGGTCCTTTGACCATGTATATAAGGATTTATTTCGGGCTCTCGACTCCATTGGTCTCCATGTCTCTCTTTATGTCAGTACCACACTGTTTTGATTACTGTAGCTTTGTAGTATGTTTTGAAATCAGGAAGTGGGAGACCTCCGATTTTGTTCTTTGTTTTCAAGATTGTTTTGTCTATGCAGGGTCCCTTGAAGTTTCATATGACTTTAGGATAGATTTTTCTATTTCTGCAAGAAATAATACTGGATTTTGATAGGGGTGGCTTTGACTCTGTAGATCCTTTTGGATAGTATTGGCATTTTAACAAGAAGCCTTCTAGTCTGTGAACACAGAATGTCTTCCCGTTTATGTTCTTTTCATTTCTTTTAGCAATGTCTTTTAGTTTTCAGTGTAGAAGTCTTCTGCCTTCTTGGTTAAGTTTATTCCTAAGGATTTGATTCTTTTTGATGCTATTATAAATAGAAATGTTTTCATAACTTTCTTTTCAATTTTATTTAATTTTAATTCATTTACATCTAAACTCAAATGACCAAAATGTGGCTAGTGGCTAACTTATTGGACAGCACAGATGTAGAACATTTCTGTCATCACAGAATGTTCTATTGGACAGCAGGCCTTGGAGTATCAGTCTATATTGTCTCTCTTGAACATTATTTGAATTCTAAACCTAACTCTAATTGTAAAATCAAAGCTTTGGTTTTGTACACTGTACCTTTGTCCTGCTGGTACAGTGTCCGCTGACATATGCACCTTGCCGTGTGTGTTCCACATTAACCTTGTGGGAAATGTTAATAGGAGAGATTATTGTACAGACCACTGGCTATTAATTCAAATCAGGGGGAGGATGAGGAATGCCTTTACATGTGTGGTACCCAAATAGGTGATTGGTTGACAAGACCAGTAAAAAGACACCTAAAAAAACTAAGAGGGTAAAACCATCTACCTGCCTGAGGATGTTGTCTCAAGTACCGAACATTTTCCTAAACCTCTTTGCCTGTTTCCCCACCCCTTTAAGGTGATTAAAGGGAGGGCAGTTTTAGGAAAGAAAGAATTGGTTCAATGGCACTTTAACTTTTTTTTTTTTAATCCAAAAGGAAGGATTATACAGTTCTTTGTAGGTTCTTTCCTTCAATTCCTGTCTTGTCAAGACACAGATGATGAAATTCATCCCTGTTTCCTCCACGTGACAAATTACCCTTCCTGACTTATTTTCCCATTCAGATGTCTCCTTAATTTGACTTCAGCCAGAGTAAAATGTTTTGAGAGAAAGTAAAAAAAAGCTACTTGAGATGCTTAACCCCATCTTCCCTTGGGAAGAGGCCCTGCCTTCCGCTCTGGCACTGATACGCCAGAGACATAATTGCCCCCAGTATCGCGGCCAGAAGTGTCCCCTATGCTGGCTGCCGCTTCTACCACCAAGGACAACAGCTGCATTCTGAGGCCCCACCTCCCACCTTCTGGAACCAGAAATGGGGGCAAAGGCTGGTCATGCAGCCACAAGTGATAGAGAGCTGACACACATCTTATAAAAGCTCTTTCCTGCCCAGTCTTCGTTTGTTTTATTTAGAAATTCTGGGAAGGCACTGAGTATTATTTGACACTCCTGTTTTCCCCGCACCTCTAGCCCAGTCCATCCACTAGGATGCTACTAAGGAAAGTGGAGAGAAGCAATTACAAGGGACACTGAAGGGGAACGAGGGCGGTGGCGGCGGGAGGAAGGTAGAAAGAAGGAAGTTGATGCTTGCACCAGGCAGAAAGGAGAGAAAAAGGGTACACTACCAGCTTCTTGGCCCTGCGGCTAGATAAAATAGATCAAGTTCTGTCCCTTCTCTTGGCCTCTTACAGTCTGCTTTCCTGCAAGGGTCCCACAGAGTAAAGTACTGACAGGTGCTCACACAGGTGCTTCCAGTTAGTATCCAGTCCCATCCCAGGACACTGTTGGCACGTTTTAGATACTTAGAATGAGTCTTCCTTGCTCTGTGCGGTTTTTGTTGTTGTTTGTTGTTTTTGTTTTTGTCTTTTTGTCTTGGTTGACTATAGATTACCAAACACTCTGGGTTCCCGTTTGCTCATTTTGACTTAGAAAAGGTATCACCTCCCTGGCTGAATTTCTCATATGCAGTTAAAAAAGAAATGATGTTTTGACACACACTCCCATTTCAATTTTATCCTTAAAGAAGATTGAAAATAGCTAAAATGCTTCACCTTGAACCTGACTCTTCCTTCAAAGGCCATTAGGTGAAAAAGGAATTATTATTATTATTATTATTTTAAAGATTTTATTTACTTGACAGAGAGATAGGGAGAGAGGGAACACAAGCAGGGGGAGTGGGAGAGGGAGAAGCAGGCTTCCCGCTGAGCAAGGAGCCCGATGCGGGGCTCGATCCCAGGACCCTGGGACCATGACCCGAGCCGAAGGCAGAGGCTTAACGACTGAGCTACCCAGGCGCCCCCTAGAAAGGAATTACTTATATAGTATCAGTATAAAGGGAAAAAATGAATTAAGTCTGATGTAGCAGACACATAAATTTAAAAAAAGGCTGAGTACTTTCCAACACAGGAAAAAAAATGCTAAAGAATTAAAATGGAGGGCAAGGGGGAAATGGAAGTGACTTTTATTTTGATATTTGTGTGGGTTAAACAAGACAATGAGAGATGTTGCCCCAGGTGATTGTGGACACAAAGTAAGTATAGGTGCTTTCTAAGAGTATAAGTGTATTTTTTTTTTAAACAAATTTAACTCCAGATCAGACATCCAGAACTTTATCATTAGTGTCAGATGATGTTAATTCAGTTATAAGATTCAGGCTTTGACTAACAAGGGCTTTTTGTGGGAGTGGAATGGATATAAATGACAAAGGCTGGAAATTTTCCAAAAAGTCACTCAATGGGTTGCAGCTCCACTATCGAATACTGTGAATGGGACCGTCCCACTCATAGCAAAATCTAATTATTGTGTTTTTCTGAACTTAGGCCTATAAAAGAGAGAGGGACAGAGAAAACCTACCGTTCCAGCCCACATCTGGCATTCGGAGAGTGCTATCTCCTTCTCATCCCAAAACAAGATCACCAGCTCCCTCTCGACTTTGGTAAGTGAAATTTAAGAGGTTGGCTGGGTTGCCCCATGTGGAAGAAATCGTAGCCTCTGTTCTCTGAAAGCCAACTATTCATTCTCTCCATGCTGTTTAGCATTGACTTAGGGAATAACATTTTTCCTTGTAAGAAAGGAAAAAGGAGGTGGGAATGAGTCTCTAAAGTGAGTATTTCTGTGTTTGCCACATAAGAAACAAACACACCAGCTCAGTATCTTCATTTCTTTTCCTTACTGGTGCTGGCGTGCTAGGGCTGTCACGTGATAGAGGAGTGGGGAGGGGAAGGGTCTGGCAAAGCCTGCCCTGGTGACTCCCATTCTCTCTCTGCTGTGTGTTGCCCAGGCTGCCATCCAAATCCTTTCCTCACCTGCCTGGCACACCCAGGCCAACCTCCTCCTTGCCTCCTGGATCAGTCAAAGCTGCCCCTGCTCAGGTCCGGCCACCATCCCCTGGCAACATCCGCCCTGTCAAGAGAGAAGTCAGAGTGGAACCTGAGAGGAAAGACCCCGAGAGGGAACCCCAGAATGTTGCCAATGAGCCATCACTTAAGGGCAGAACACCTTTAGTGAAGGTGGAAGAAGCCACAGTTGAAGAGGGGACACCTGCCGAGCCAGAGGCTGCTCCTGGTAAGATTCTGTTGCCTTGTGATGCAGTGCGGGTTGTTTGCTCTTCTTGGGGGACTTAGAAATTTTACTCCAAGGTTAATTTTGGGAACTTTTCCTACGTGCGATTTTCTTACGTATAAAGAAAGAAATATCCAATCAAAAGCCTATCGCTGGAGCCACAGCATATTAATTCAGGTCTGACTTAGGAATCCTTTTATTGACCGAGTCCAGTTTTTCACAAAATGTGGTGTTCAGAGCACCTGCCTCAGGATTGCTTGTATTAGTCACTGCTGTGTAACAAATCAGCCTAAAACTTTGCAGCTTATAACAACAGTTATATCACACAGATCCTTGGGTCAGGAGTTTGGAAGCAGCTTAGCTGGGTTGTTGGAAGATGATGCACACACATGGCTGAGCTCCATTTCACGGCACATGAACCTCTCCATAGGGTTGCTTGATGTCTTCAGTCTGTCTGCTGGACTCACTTGCTGGCTTCCCCCAGAGAATGTGATCTGAGAGAGAGCCTCACAAGGAATCCACATCTTTTATGCCTAGTCTCAGAAGTCATACACACAGAAGTCACAATTTCTTCATATTCTGTTCATTAGAAGCAAGTGACTACGTTCAACTCATACTCAAATGAATGGGATTAGTCTCACCCTTTTAGAGTGAAGATCTTCAAAGAGTTTATGGAAATAGTTTTAATTTACCACTTCTGTAATGTTTCAAAGTACAGAGCCCTGGCCCTGTCTTAGACCTACTGAATCCAGGTATGTGGTGGATCCAGGGACTCTGAAAGACACTAAGCTCATCAACCAATTCCTGTGCAGAATTGTCAGATAAAATGCAGAATGGCCAGTTATCTTGTGCTTAGTGGAGTTGAAGGACCACCGGCTAGCCTATGGTGCTTGACAGAGGTCAGAATTCGTTCCAAAAGACCCAGTGGATTTCGTCTCTGCCAGGCTAAACCAGATGCTTTTTAGAAGTTTAGAATCACCTGGAACTAGGAGTTCAATATTTTTTGTTGGAAATTGTCTTCATTCAAAAGTTTTCCCCTTGAGACTTAATTTGAAGATGTGGGCAGGGACAGAGAAAGAATAGATAATTCAAGACAAGTGACAGTGTTGTTGGGCAGTAGAAGAGTCCAATATTTGCATGGAAAGAGAGAGAAGAGAAAGGCCAAAAAGTGTCCTGGGGGCAAAGAAAAATGCATTAATTTTGAAAGGAGGGTCTAGAATACCAGAGATCACACCTCCCAGCGCAGCATCTACGTGGGACTCCTGGCCACGTAGAGTGGCTCTCTAGGCCATTTCCTGAATGTGGATAAGGTCAGAGGACTTATACTGCCATCTTGCATCTTGGCATCAGGACAGACCACGGAGGCCCAAATGGGTAAGAATACGAGTGCCGGCTCCTGAAGAGGCCCTTGACTCCTCCCATCTCAGACCTGGAGACAGCTCTAGGTAGACAAAAAGGGACTTCATCTTCATCGGGTGTCATCTTCCCAGCCTGAATCTGGGCTCATGGCAAGGATGCTGAGGATGGTCATAGAAAGGCTTTGGTCCACTAGTAATGAATAGTCACTAAAGAGAAGGAATTTTTTAAGTGTAATGAAAGACAAATGGAAGATCTCATCTTCTTTTTGCTCAGAGTATAACTTCCCACAGAACCTAAAGTGAGGCTCTATACTGAGTACACATTTGATATATGTTGTTAACTGATTAACTTGTATAAAAATAAGACTTGGTGACACAGTGTCAGCTTTGTTGGATGTCTCACTTACACACGTACCTTTTTGTTATTTGTTGCTTGGTTACAAATAGAATACAGTGAAACCGTGAGAACACACAGTAATAAACATTCCCTTTTCTTTTATAATGATGAATTCTAGGCCTCGGGTGTGGGGAATGCTAGTTTTTGTTTTGTTCTTTGGGTTTTGTTTCCAATTGGTTTTCTTCCTGTACCTGTTTGTACAGCTGCTTCAGCCCCAGCCCCAGCATCGGCCCCCGTTCCAGCGCCGGTCCCAGCCCCAGCGTCAGCCCCAGCCTCGCCATACACTGTGACTGCCGCCGCTTCTCCCAAGACCTCTGCAGGTACCACTGACCCAGAAGAGGCCACGAGGCTGCTAGCTGAGAAGAGGCGGCTGGCCCGAGAACAGAGAGAAAAGGAGGAAAGAGAGAAGAGGGAGAAGGAAGAGCTGGGAAGGTAAAGGAGTGACCATTGCTCAGTGAGCAGGGCCATCCTGGGGTTACCTTGGATTAAGTCTTCAGTCTGAGAGACAAGAGGTGGTGGTAGTGATGAAGGTGAATGGACTAGTTGCTTCAGAATCATGCCTCTGACCACTAAGTCATTTTTTAAAATCACATTTTCTTACTCTAATGACAGTACAACACTGATGGAGAAAGGTTTTAAAGAAAGAAAAAATCTATCCATAATCTCACCAGTTTTCAGTAATTGGCAAAGTGGATTTTGGGTCTCTGAACAGTGTAGGGGTTTATACACATACATAAATATGGACACACACACAGACATCTGTTTACGTAATTCTAACCACAGGAGAGGTACAATTGTACAGTCTGATTTTTTTTTTACTCAACATATTTCTAATCTCCATATTTCCTCATTATCTTTCTAATAATCATTTTAAAGCTGCATAGTAAAAGCTTGTGTTTTCTTCCTGATAGAACTCTCAGGGAGTAGCTGGGAGAGATAGTTCAGTGCCCCATGACTGCCTGCTGGGCAGGATGCTAGGGACAGTTGGCTTAGTTGGCCTCCTCCTGCAGCTAATAAAACCAATTTGTCAAGGACATTGTTCTTCAGACAAGCAGAATTGCATCTCTGGGGAGGATCGCAGCTCCAGTGCTGGGCAGCAAGCTTGGACATACCCTACACTTGATCACAGCAGGGCTTACATAGTCTGTCTTCGTCCTGCCCTGTAACAGAACATTGTAACCTTTATTAATTGGCAAAGATTTCCGGGGGGGGGGGGGTTGTGTGTTCAAATTCATTACTAAAATGTTCCATTATTGGATAAAACTAGTCTTAGCCTTTAAAGATAGTTAAATTGCACATCCTTTCACAAAACAAAGCTCTCCTCAAAATATTAGTGGTTGCATTTACCTTCTGTTTACCACGACGCAACGTGAGGCTGGGAAAATGAGGAAGAAGAGAGGGTGGCTTCTCATTTTGTCCCCAAAGCATGCTGAGCGCGGCCCATGGAGATTTTCCTCAGAACAGACTGCCCAGGCGGCAACCACAAACTCGAGGCTCTCTTCAGGGAGCCCCCCCCCCCCCCGAGTGTATCTCTGCTTTTTGTGTCTCATTTTCCAGACAAAAAAGAGAGGAGCTGGCGCAGAAGGTGGCGGAGGAGCGGGCTCGGCGGGAGGAGGAATCCCGCCGGCTGGAGGCTGAGCAGGCCCGGGAGAGGGAAGAGCAGCTGCGGCGGCAGGCGGAGGAGCGGGAGCGGCGCGAGCGCGAGGACCAGGAGCGCGCCCAGAAGCAGGTAGGGGCCCGGCGGGCCAGGGCCAGGCCCGCTCAGAGCAGAGGAGAGCACCCAGCGCGCGGCATGCCGGGACAAGGCCCCCGCGCCTCGTGTGCACATGCGCGCGCTCGCATCCCGCACCTGCCGAGTGGACCCCCGAGCCTCCGCCTCCGGGCGCCCTGACGGGTGCGGGCGGCCGACCGGCCTGAAGCACAGGCTCACTTCTTGTTTCCAGAAGGAAGAAGAAGCTCGCCTTCGTGAGGAAGCAGAGAGGGTTCGGCAGGAGCGAGAGAAGCATTTCCAGAGAGAAGAGCAGGAGCGCCTGGAAAGGAAAAAGGTGACCGCGTCTAAAACAGAGCCTGGGATGCTAATTGTAACTTCTTCCCCAGACTTGAAGCCCCAAGCCCAGGAGACTAGCTCACCGCTCTCAGAAAGCAACTGTGTGCTGCCCATTCCAGATAAACTAAAGCAGCTCCCAGTATTAATCATTTCGTCCAAAGAAATCTGTCTTCATAGTGCGGCCCCCACCAAAAACAGTTCCTTCCGATTCATGTGGCTTAAGTCAGTTCCAGCTTGATGTGAATAATGCCAATTAAGTTGAAGCAGTGGGTATTATAATTGCCCACAGTAACAGACGTGTTTGGATGACCCATTTGCCCAGTCAGTGAAATGTGCCAGGCTCGCCTTCTTTCCCTCTCTGACCCCTTTGCGCAATTCCCCCTTTCTTGTAGCGACTCGAGGAGATTATGAAAAGAACCAGGCGAACAGAAGCTACAGATAAGGTACTGAGGTGCCATTTTTAAACTATTCTTAATAGCTTTTTTCCTTTACTTTCACTTATAACTTTAACATTAAAAAATCTTTTTTTCTTTTTTTTTTCTTTTTTTCTTTTTTCTTTTGGTAGAAAACTGTTGATCAGAGAAATGGAGATATAACCAAGGGAGCTCTCCCTGGAGGAACAGGTATTTACTTCAGTGAATTCAAACAAATTCAAATATAGAATTTTTGGATTGACTCTCTAGAGATGAAGATATTCATTGACTTGGGGGAAAAAAAGGTACTCATTGACTTACAGAAGTTTAGGTGTGTGTCATGTAGTCCACAGATTTTCGCCTTATGTAAAACTCTCACATTTCTGGCAGATGTTTTTTCACATTTGTTTATACTCTAATAGTGTGCTTAATATTTTAAATTATGTTACATTACAAATATCCGTATTTGTGAATATATGTTTGTATATATCTATGTGTATATAGATATATGCCTATAGAGAGAGATATGTACACATCTGAATATATACACACGATTAGAAGAATTTTCTTTGTGTTATAAAATTAAATTTCATTTATCATTTATTGTCTGCTAAAGTAGCATGTATTTGTATTTGCTCTTAAGGACTCTAAACTTAACACATTTTGACAACTTGTATTTATGGCAGTTCTCACAAAAGAATTTATACCCTTTTAACTTCTGATTTCAGAATAGAGTTAAAATTAGAAATTAGTTGAAATTTCATTAGAAAGTTGTTGATACCTATAGGCTTTGGACAGAGATGATTAATTTCTTGGTGATTTTAAACCAAATTTGCTTGAAATAAAATGTACCTTAGTGTGTTAGTACCCAAATTCAATTATTTATTAAATGGTCTCTTTGTGTCAGGTGCCTCCTGCATACATTTTCTTTCTTTAATTTCCGCTGCGGCCTTGTGAGGTAGAACTGCTTTATCTTGAAGTCAGCAAGCATTTTAGGAGACCTGTCACGTGCCAGACCTTGTTGCAGGTGCTGGGATTCAGTGTGAACAGGCCAGGTCCCTTCCCCCGAGGAGTTCTTCACTCAGGTGGCAGACCCAGCTTATACAGCTGGAGTCCAAGCTTAGGATTCTTCTGTGATCCCACGTGGTCTTCATGATTGTACATACAGGTGGTTGGTAGACAGCTCATCATGCACTCTTCTTCTTTCCTCATCTGCAATGTCAATATGACAAGAAAGCACCAGAGATACCTCACTTTCCTTTGCTGTTTTTTTCTTGCAAGACTAAAGATCAAATGAAATGATTTATTTGAAAAAAAATTTTCTCTGTAAACTCTAGAGGTTTTCAAAAGTAGTATGTTGGTATCTTGGGATTTGGTTTTATTTCAAAAGAGGCTATCCTAGTTTCTCTATGTCATGATTCCTTCTTAGTGAACTTTTCATGCTTTTTTCAAGATGCCCTAATTATATTTGTTTGGAGAATAACCCTAATGGTTGCCTGTTAACCCCATTGCATTTTTTTTTTAAATGTATTCAGACTTGTATTTTTTTTTTTTTTTTAAGATTTTATTTATTTATTTGACAGAGAGAGACACAGTGAGAGAGGGAACACAAGCAGGGGGAGTGGGAGAGGGAGAAGCAGGCTTCCCGCGGAGCAGGGAGCCCGATGTGGGGCCTGATTCCAGGACCCTGGGATCATGACCCGAGCCGAAGGCAGACGCTTAACGACTGAGCCACCCAGGTGCCCCAACCCCATTGCATTTTTAATAGGTTGTCTTCACAAATGTTGTAACTCATGAAGACTTTATGTAGGCAGAACCCCCCCATGAGTCATCAGAATGAGCATTTTAGGATTTAAATTGCACCAACATGGGGTTTTTTGAGAGGCTGTTGCTATAGTTAATGCATGGCCAGGTTCCTTGGTTTTTTGTTTGTTTTTACATCTTTCCCCTTCCTGGCTGTTCCCCTATTAATTCTTTCAATATTTATTACACAAATGATACATATTGCAAAATATCATTTTGTACCTCAGCCCGAGAATCAACAAAAGCAAGAGGGAAGGTGCAACTTGCCAGTCATCCTATCTGTGTTTATCAACACTCATAATAAATCTGGTTTGAGTTAGTACTGCTAAACAGAGGCCTGAGGGATTATCTGTCTAACAGATATTCCTCTTTTCCCCCGTCCCATGTGTGGTTGAGGGCGGAATGGTGTTGCCAGTGCTCCAAAGAGAATCCTAGGGCAGGCAGGCAGATGAGCTTACAGATCTATCAGAAATCTCTAAGGCTGCCTATTACCAGCTTTGTGAATTTTGGCCCCTTTAATAAAGTTATTAATAACTTCTTCAGTTATCAGACTCTCTGGATCTCTGGCAGCTTTCCTGAATTTGTGCCAGGCAATGAAATAACACTTCCTTGGAATTATATTTCAGTTATTCCTTCATGTCAAGCTGAAACCATAAACTGCCACAAAGTTCCCTGAAACTCTGACCTGTATGAAGGTTTACAGGACTTTTAAGTAACCCTGGCTTAGATTTTGGAGTCTGTCATCGATATTGTTGGCTTAAGCTGGACTACAGCACTGAGCATTGAATGACGAGGTGGCATAGTAAAGTACAATTCACTGGTCTTCCATTCATGGAAATCCCTATCATTTTAAGTGCGGCTAGAACTAAACTGAGTTTAAAAATTATTTTTTATCACTTAAGGTAGCTCATGGTGATTTGCTCTGAATCCTTCAGAAGATATTCACCATCAGCCTGATCAAGTCAGCTTACTGCTATCTTCATCAATTGCTTTGGTTTCAACATTATATACTTTTTGCCCAAAGTCAATTTAGTGCAAGCAAAAATAATGACAACAGTGGTTTCCACCTTACATTGTGCTGGGCACTGTTCTTAGTACTTTGCATATATTAAGACATTTAATTCTCAGTGTAGTCTGTGAGGTAGGTATTCTTATTCATGAGGAAACTGAGGCACAGAGCGTCTGTGGCCTGCCCAAGGTCACAGCCAGTAAGTAGCAGAGCCAGAACATAAATCTAGGCATTCTGGCTCCTGGGGTTTGGGTTCGATACTAGAATAGTAGTAACTGTTTGTCCCATCTTCTTTGCTGTGTCCAGTGGTATCTGCATTTCCATGTATGACAAACTCTCCAGGAAATGGAGAACCAATGAGCAGCCCACATGCGGTCACCTCACACCAATCGACAGTGACTGTGGAGAGGTGAGTTAAACAACTGGGCCCTTTTTACTGATACACATGAGAGCAAAGCACTAATCCCACCAGAACTTCCTAGGCCTGACGGAATTTCAAAGTTTTAACATTAAGATTCATTTTCATTTGGGTTCATTAATTTTTTTGTAGAGCTAGTAATTCTGTTTTTTGTTTTGTTTTGTTTTTAAGATTTCATCCATCCACCTGACAGAGAGACGCAGTGAGAGAAGGAACACAAGCAGGGGGAGTGGGAGAGGGAGAAACAGGCTTCCCGCGGAGCGGGGAGCCCAATGCGGGGCTCGATCCCCGGATCCCGGGATCATGACCTGAGCCGAAGGCAGACGCCTAACGACTGAGCCACCCAGGCGCCCCGAGCTAGTAATTCTGTAGTTAGAGAAAGGGAACATATCTTTTTCTTGAGTCTTTAAATATGATGGTTAGGTTTGTGTGTGCCTATGAAAGAAAATTACAGGGAAGATTTTATTTGTATATATTTAACATGATCTAGACCATATTCACACCTTTAAGTGGCATATTTTCACCATACATAATATTCTTGTTTGTCACAGGTTTGTTCTACAGTAAAATAATTTGGATGCCATTATTTCTGATATTGGTAGTAGGGCTTCTTATTGAAGAAACAAGCAGTTGCTAACAACAGCCAAGAAAGAAGTGTGGGTTGAAAAAAGATTGCCTTTCTCTTCTTTGGTGTTAATATTGACAGGATCATAAGAACACTCTCAAAAATAAAAAATCAGGGTAATTCTAGCCTGTGCTTAAAAATCCAGTCATAGAGAACTTTTAGAAGTATTTGTTATACTGTTAAAAAATTTCACCTGTGATTTTTTTTTTAATTTATTTAGTTCTCTTATGAGTTTTCCTGTCTCTAATGCCAGAGTGTTTGCTGCATCAGAGAATTAAAGGTCTGATTTTTTTCTTAATCTAAAAACACACACTGCCCATTGTTTTATGGTATTGGCAGCAATGCAAAGATAAGTTCTTCTAAGAAGTCCATAGTCAGGGGTGCCTGGGTGGCTCAGTCGTTAGGCGTCTGCCTTCGGCTCAGGTCATGATCCCAGGGTCCTGGGATCGAGCCCCACATCGGGCTCCCTGCTCTGTGGGAGGCCTGCTTCTCCCTCTCCTACTCCCCCTGCTTGTGTTCCCTCTCTCACTGTGTCTCTCTCTGTCAAATAAGTAAATAAAATCTTTAAAAAAAAAAGTCCATAGTCATAAGACATCCATTGGTATCTTTCTAGGACAGTAAAATCTTTTATTTTTCCCACTGTAATACCAAAGAAAAGAATTTTCCTGAGAGAGAGCTTATTAATAAGCTTTCAACCATGTTAAATAAATTTATTGTCATCACCTAAGATACATATTAAGTGATATTTTATGCTTTTAATTAGTTTGATTTTCAAATAAAATATTCATCCCCAACTGCTATAATTTATGATGTTCAATTCACTGACTTCAAAAAAAGGAGACTTTTATGAGAGAATAAAAAGTATCACAGAGAGAACCCCATTATTATAAGGACCAGGTTTATTAAGCCACTGATAATTTTATCTGATGAATAACATTAGTTTACATTAGCTGACTTTTTTCAGTGATAAAATCATCAAGTAATTAATCATTACCTAAAACATAATTTTACTATGTAAAATGAGATGGTAAAATTCTATTTCTGATTATTTCACCCATTGCTTTTCTCTATTTAAACTGCCTTCAAACCTCAAATCTCTTTTCATACAGTGTACCATGAGGTCCCTCGGCTTTTACTTGGCACTGACACAATATTTATATACCCAGTTCAACCTAGTTCATTTGTCATCAGCCCTTGCCACATAAGCTGGTACAGTATGCTCTGAAATACTAATGTATAATGAAGCACTAAACTCAGCTTTATGATAGTCAGCCATGTAGATGATCAGACTATTCTATTGGAGTTTTTTTTTTAATTTTTATCAGAATGAAAACATATATTTGTAAAAGTTTATATAGAGTATTGGACCCCATTTTGAGAAATACAATCCATTTCAGAATGATCCTGGCCTCTAGGGAATGTTTAATGTGCTGTTAAGTTTGTTCCCCATTGCATGATACACAGTTTATGATATGTAGCCTAAGAAACCCTGCTTCCCTCAATTATTTCTAAATTTATCTTCCCTGAATTTATCCACACCAATCTTGAAACAAGGTGTACTTCCACTTAGCATCATCTCTTTAGTAACAAAAAGCACTTTTTATTTTTCTTAGAGCTACCTATTTGCAGTTTCAAAGTTCGGACCGATGGTTGTGAGAAACTAGGTTTTAGGGAGTAAGTCCTTTCTCACAATTTCCATACCTTTTGTAATTATACAGATTTTGTTTCTGTTCTCTTTTTGCTTTCATCTTATAAAGCAAGTATTCCTGCTACACTTTGTCTATCAGTCAGCGTCCAGTCGGGAGAGAGAAACCAGGCAAATTAATTTAAATAAGAAAGTTTAAGATCAAGAATAATTAACTATTACTTGGGATGGAAGTAACAACACATTGCTAGTAAGAAGCAAAGAGAACTCAAGATTACAGGGTTAGCAGGTCTAAGGAATAGCCACATCCCTGAGCCATCCCCAAGGAAGAGTGCCCTTCCCCAGGCTTCCATCCAGACCCTGTTGGAGAGGGTATGGCTGTGACCCACTGGATGGTGGAGAAGTTCTTTTATGAAATTAACTTGGTGGTGGAACTTGCCAAATATCTACCCTCTAGAATGCTTGGGAGAGCTGTTCACTGGGAGGTGTCCCAGTAGAGGCACTCTGTCTGCCACAGGTTGGCCCTGGAGAGGTGCTGGGGGCAGCACCTCCTCCTGCTGCAGGGGCTGGGTGCCGAGGCAGCCTCACGCACACCAGGAGCCAGACACTGGGAATGCCACGAGGGTGTGCTGCAGGAGCCTTCTGAGCAAGCACAACCAAACCAGGAAGCAGAATTTTCCTTGTGCCATGTTTCTCCTTAAATGACGAAGCTTAAAGACCATGCCAGCTGGCAAAGGAAAATTATTTAAAGGGCCCACATACAGTTTCAGAGCAAGATTGAAGGATGAAATTTGGAGCTGAGAGGCAAAAAAAAAAAAAAAAAAACAACCCAAACCTGACAGGTTTACCTTACCTCACCTCTAAAAAGGCTCCTTCTGGGGCACCTGGGTGGCTCAGTTGGTTGAGCGACTGCCTTCGGCTCAGGTCATGATCCTTCAGTCCCGGGATCGAGTCCCACATCGGGCTCCCTGCCGTCAGCGGGGAGTCTGCTTCTCCCTCTGACCCTCCCCTCTCTCATGCTCCCTCTCTCTATCTCATCCTCTCTCTCAAATAAATAAAATCTTTAAAAAAAAAAAAAGTAAAAAGGCTCCTTCTCCAGCTCTTTGTCATTTGAGTCCTATTTTCTAGAGATTTTTCAACACAAGCGTGGGGTTGAGGAAGAAGAGCTTTAGAACCAGAGGTCCCAGGCTGGATTCCTAGTTTTATCTCAGAAATTCAGCGACTCTGGGATTAACCTACTTAAGTAAGATTTAGTTTTGTCTGGACATGAAGAGGTCTTTCCCCCAAGGTACCGGAGGGTCCAATGAAATATTGTCTGTGAAGGAGCTCTGAAAACTGTTTGTACTAGACAAATATTAGACGTTATTTATCTTGATCCTTCTAAGGTACGGTGTCCAGAAGACAAAGCACGCTGGTGTAGCTGCAGTGTAATGTAGAAAAGTGCTTTTATGTTGTATCTGATATCCCATCTTCTCCTGTCCTGCATTTTATTGGCCTCGTCTTTAACCATAAAAACATAAGGAATCAGTGTCACCTGGATCCAGTTTATAGTGATTGCAAGATCTCTTACATCCATTGTCACTGGTAGCTCTTCGTCTTTTGAGGATGGTTCAGCTTACAGTGGTTCTCTAAACCCCACTGCTCTTTACCTTGCTTACATTTTGAAGATTTTTTCCTGTTATCCTCAAGGACTTGCATTTCCCAGAATAATCATTATCTGGATACTTAAATTTTTCCTCCTGCTTATCTTCCAGATTATTATAACACTACTGTTAGCACGGACCCCTGAGGCTATCTGCCACTCATACTCTTTCCACCTAGAGAAGGACCTGCTCGTACTAACCTTTCATACCCTTCCCTGAAACAGTTTCCTGTTCACATTCCCTTTGCTTCAGTGGGGACTCACATTTTTAAACAGTTTCACTTCTGAAACCCTGTTAAAGATTTTTAAAGTTACAAATAAATCGCATCCATGGATGTTACCTTTTACCCCCAGTTTCAAGTCAACCTTGAATTACCAAGTCATTGTTTTTCACCTCAGTACGTTATGGTTAATGAAGCATTCCATAATCCTCATCATCAGTTCACATGTTTATTAAATACCCTACTCTGCACCCAGAGTAGAGGCATAGATCCTTCCAGCCTGCTTACTGTGAGTTAAGTCACTGATTGGAGATCCCCAGGGTCCCTTCTGAAGAAAGTGAGATGGGTGATCCCCTGTGGAAATCCACCATGGCGAATGCTGTAAGCACGTGGCAGGGTTTATTTTCACTAGAAAATGCCACTCCAAAGAATGAATACTTTTAGTTCAGAATCAGAGAAGTGAACTTTTCCTAATGCCTCAGTTACCTCTAATACATCGGTTTACCTTCTTTTCAGGAAAAATAAATGAGTGCCATGAGCTGGGTGACATTCTCCCCACACCCACCCCTGGGGATATGTCAGCAAACTGCCTGGCAGCACCCCGGGGTGATAGCATCTTCCTAGTATTTTCTAGCAGTGAGGACTAGCAGCAGTTCCTGGTGCAGAGAAACCCTACACCAGGAACACCCTGAACCTGACTTCAGCCCTGAGGGGCCTGAGTGACCTGTCTGGCCCCTGTGGTTTCTAGTGTTCTCAACCTTTGGTGTACAATGCTTTTAAAGCCTAAAAGCAATTCTCCTTGCCCAACAGGCTCCCCACTGACAGTAGGTAGACTGAAGAGTGTTGGAGTTACCAAGAGTCTGGCCAGCTTTTGCAGATGCAAAGAAATATATGAGCCTGGGCAGGATGATTTCTTACTCTGAAAACCATTTTGGGTTCTTGAGAATGAGTATTTGTAGAGGGAGGAGCCCATAGAATGGAGGAGAGTATTTATTTGTGGGTAAGAAACTTGCTTTGAAACAAGAAACAGAGGACACAGATGAATGTGTGAGTGCAAGTGTGTATGGGGTGTGGAGGAGGGAAGACATTATTTTAAGTTTCTCAGGTCCTTCTGATATATTCTCCCACCCCCAACAGAGAATCTGTTCTAGAAGTTAAAAACTTATGGGCTACTGTCCTACCCTGCTAATAAGATGCCCTAGGCTAAGATCCTTCACTTGTAAGAGAATGATCCTTCACTCTTAAGGGATATGTAGTAATTCTGGTTTTTGACCTAGTGGTTTTCCTTCAAATCTTAGGAGTTCATCATTGTTTTTAGTTTGCCCTAAAGGAAAAATAACATTCCCAAGCCCTTACCATTCAAACAGAAAGAGATGTATCACTTTTTTTTTTTAAGATTTTATTTATTTAATTGACAGAGAGAGACAGCGAGAGAGGGAACACAAGCAGGGGGGTGGGAAAGGGAGAAGCAGGCTTCCCGCCGAGCAGGGAGCCCAATGTGGGGCTCAATCCCAGGACCCTGGGATCGTGACCCAACCCGAAGGCAGTCACTTAACCAACTGAGCCACCCAGGCGCCCCGAGATGTATCACTCTTAATTTTAAAGTTACTTGTAAAAAAAATAATAAAAAATTAAAAAACAATAAAGGTCCTTGCTATACCATGGTAACAAACATCAAGAAAGAATAAGGTCCTGGCTACAGTAAGCTGTATGGACTGTCAGATTCCCACCATGGTCTCAGCTCCTTCCCCAGGTAGATTTAATTTTATCTTTCATTTTATTTTTTAAGTAATCTCTACACCCAATGTGGGGCTCAAACTCATGATCCTGAGTTCAAGAGTTGCATGCTTCTCCCACTGAGCCAGCCAGGTGGCCCCTCTAGGTAGATTTTAAGCAAGCGAAGTGCACAGTCTTTAAGACACTTGCATCCAACTTCAGCTGCCAGAGTATAGCCAAAGAAAAGAACCTCAGAAGCTGGTGATCTTACCCTGAGAGGACACACAGATGCATATTCCCTAACCCCAGTGACTTCAGTTTCAGTTTTATAGTTTCTGCTGGTCACAGTGTCTTCTGAACATTTAATAATTGGCCATCCAAAGCATACAGCACAATTCCTCTAATTGCTAACAAGTAAGAATGGGTGGAGAGGTCAGGTAGGAGTGGGAGGGGGAAATGAAGTCAACTGTTGACTCAAGTCTGGGTTGGCTTATCCATTAAAACTTGTTAGCACATGCAAGCCCGGAAGGTGACGGCAGTTGAGGTGGCCAAGGAACGGGGCTTAGAGATGCATTCCTCTTCTTTACCTTTTGCTGAAACTTCTACTGAAAATCACTTTGGGATGAGAACTAAAACCGTTTCCCTGGTTACAGAGAGCCCATCAGTGTTTGGGAAAGAACCAGGAGGATGGGGGGTACCTAGGTGGCTCAGTCGGTTAAGCGTCTGCCTTCGGCTCAGGTCATGATCCCAGGATTTGGGGATCCAGCTCCTCCTCGGGCTCCCTGCTCAGCAGGGAGTCTGCTTCTCCCTCTACCCCTTCCCCCTGCTCGTGATCTCCACGCGCGCTCTCTCTCTCTCTCAAATAAATAAATAAATAAAATCTTAAAAAAAAAAAAATCAGGAGGATGGGTACGGTGGCTGATCCAATCACTTAGAACAGCGGGTGTCGGGCACGCACACACATGCGCTCCCGCATCACTACTGTGATGCCAAGCCTCCTTGGTGAAATAAACCGCCATCATACTCTGAGTCTGTACACTGTTTTTATGTTACTTTTCACAGACTTTTACAAATAGTACTTTCAATGTACTCTGCAAAACCTTGTGAGACACTTAGGACAGATTTTTTTTTTTCCTAGAGGAAAAGTTTAAGATTTTATTTATTTATTTGACAGAGAATGAGAGAGAGAGAGAGAGAGAGAGTGGAGACACACAAGCAGGCAGAGCTGCAGGTAGAGGGAGAGGGAGAAGCAGGCTCCCCGCTGAGCAGAGAGAGCCTGATGTGGGACTCGATCCCAGGACCCTGGGATCATGACCTGAGCTGAAGGCAGACGCTTAACCAACTGAGCCACCCAGGAGCCAAAGAAAAGTTTTAATTAACAAAAATATACCAAAATATCTAAATCAGAAATGCTTTAGAATGTGTCCCGAAAATCATTATTTCTTGTGAATTAGGTAAACTGTTTCTTCAACGGTAAAAAAGCAGTTTCCTCAAAATAAAAAGCAATGGAAAAATTGGATGTACATTAGCTTTATGTTACCATTTGGGAAGGAGACAGAAAAAGATGAATTGATTTTTGCTAAAGTTCAAGCAGTTGGCATTATAATTATACTACAAACCTGATTTTCTGATCTCTAGCCTCTTTCCATAGACCTATAGTTAAACATTCAACTGATGATCAGTATGTATTAGAAATTAAGACCTTCACAATTTTTGCTTCATATGGTTAGTCTTTTCCATTTGAAAATTTTAACTCTAGAATTTTGTCAAATAGGGTTTTTTTTTGATACACGAACTGAGAGCACTGAACAAAATATGAAGCTTGCAAATATATGTTTACTGCTGCACTCAGATAAAGTGAATCTAGCATTCATTTATATTGTTTCTGCTGCATTGTAAAGCATAATAATGAACATATAAAAGGCTTTCAGTTTGGTTATGGAGCTTCTAAAGAGAGGGAAAAACCTAAGAGAAACTGTAAGTAGAAAATTAATGATTTGGTGGCCAATTAAATGTACCTCAAAAATAAATCCAAGATATTAAGCATGAATTAATGAGAAGCAAGTTGGGGTCAGCGGCAGATTTAAGGGGTAAAGATAAGGTTGGTCTTAAACAATAGACCTATAAAAAACGTGCACGTTTTAGTAAGCTAGAGGTACCCAGGAAAGGCTAGCATTTGAATAGCCAGGTACTGTACAAAACGGCATAATGAACAGAACACATCACCAGAGATCAGGAGAGTATACATTCAGTTTGAACTATGTCTCAGTTGTTCTGTGACTCTACAGATTGTCCCCACACCCCCACATTTCAGTCCCCTCATCTTTGAAGTAAAGGACCTAATAAGGGCTACTGTTTATCAAACAAAGGTGTGTGAAAATGCCTGTGGTAGTAATTGTTATATGTGTGTTGAAAATAATGATCTATTCTAACTGATAACTTGTTCCATTTGATAAATTTTTTATAACAAAAAGATTTTTAAAAAATAAGTGTAAAATTGCAAATATGTCAAAATTCACCACTTTTGTGAATGATGTGGTCAATCAGTGTTAACATTTGATTCTAAAATTCTAAAATGGGGGTGCCTGGGTGGCTCAGTCGTTAAGTGTCTGCCTTCGGCTCAGGTCATGATCCTAGGGTCCTGGGATCGAGCCCCACATCGGGCTCCCTGCTTGGCAGGAGGCCTGCTTCTCCCTCTCCCACTCCCCCAGCTTGTGTTCCCTCTCTTGCTGTGTCTCTCTCTGTCAAATAAATAAAATCTTTAAAATAAATAAAATGAATAAAATAAAATTCTAAAATGACTATTACAAAATAGTTTTTGGTTGTTTTAAAAATGTTTTTTCCAGTTTTAATGCTAACTCCTTTCAATTTTGATTTTTCACATTCCCTAGTACTCCCAATTTGGAAAAACAACCAAGTGAAAATGGAGTATCTGTTCAGAATGAAAATTTCGAGGAAATTATAAACTTACCCATTGGATCTAAACCATCCAGATTAGATGTCGCCAACAGCGAGAGCCCAGAAATTCCTTTGAATCCAATTCTGGCCTTTGATGATGAAGGGACGCTTGGGCCCCTGCCTCAGGTAGATGGTGTTCAAACACAACAGACAGCAGGTAAGCTTGCCTCGAGCTCCCTTCGGTAACCACATGAGAGAACGAACCTTGTGCAGTGTGACTGCGGCAGCTTTGTTCTTTCAGGGACCATGTGGAAAAGATTGTATAAGGATCACAGAAATTGAATTTTGAGTTGGATTGGGCAAATTCTAGGGCCCCTCCTATTCCCCCAATTGGTGTACAAATCCAGTCTGCATCACCCACTGGATGTCCATCACCTTCTCCTCACAGAGCAGTCCTCACTGCCCAGAAACACTCACTGTCAGAACATTCTTCATATAAAGACAAGCATTTAATGCCCCATCATAACCTAGGGACCCTCGGGCCTAGTTCTGCCCCCTGGTATTTGTTTCATCTCTCCTAGCTCTTCAGATATATGAAGACTGCCATCATGTTCTCCCATTTTTCTCTTGTTCAGGTTTAGCAGCTTAGATGATACACTATTGTCCCTTTTAAATGTAGTAAGACAGAATTTAGATAATGAGACCCATATTTAGAACTAGGAGAATATGAACCCAGTGGTCTTCTGTCCTTTGTTGAGTGCCTGTTGCTGTTGTTGAAACGACCAGCGACTCTCTTATACCATCTCTGGGACTCACCCTTGACCTGAAGTCTTTGTGCAAAAAGACCAATAGCTTTGTGTGACCCAGAGAAATAAGGAGCAACATCAAAAGTTACCAACTCAAGGGTCACAACAGCTCAACAGCAGAATCTCATCAGTCTCAGAATTAGGTGGAATAATCTCAGCTCTGATTCTTCTCAAACCTCTTTGAGTTCTGTCAAGTTTCTCTTCCCAGCAGATCACTTTCATGTATGGACCAGCATCTCTTTATACTATTATGAACAGAGCTGGCCAAATTCAGCATGTTTAAACGGAGTCAGTGCAGAATTATTTGTGGTCAAGTTGTTTTGTCTTTCAGATTTCCATCTGTGAACTTGCAACTCCTATTTTCTACTTTAATTGGCTGGAAAAGCCAGTGTTGAAGCAAGCACCTGTCCAAATGAAGCTAGCCTTTTTTCCTTCTCTAATAGACTGACCTTGGGACTCTAACTTCACTTTACGATCCCCTTCTCTAGATTGTAGAAGGAAGCTATACGGCCTGTCCCATCCTCATTCTTAAGACTCTGGGAATAATCTGATGATTCGTATGTTAGTGGAAACACTCCTGGTGCAGCTCCCTACCTCGTCATGTTGCAGATTCACAGAGAGGCGAGGGACACCCAGATGACCTTCAGTGTCACATAACAGGCCTTATTAACTCACCTTTTGATTTACCTGTCATTCCATTCTCACTGTTACTGCCCTTCAAGTGTCTGTGATCTTGAGCGGTGTAAGGGTTCTTTTGGGGTCATGACTGTTTTTCAACAAACATTTATTTAGCTATATGTTTGGAACCTGAAGCATTAGGTGCTGAGGATACAAGACCAATGAACGTAAGTCTCTAACATAAAAGGAGAGTACAACTAATGTATGTCATTTAGAAAAGTAAATGATATGGCCTAAGTTGAAGGTAAAGAAAAGGACATGTGTTTTCCTGCTAGTGGTAGAACTCATTAAAATACAAGATTCTGATGAAATCACCTATTCTTATATATGTATAGACAATGTATAGAAAAGCATGACAAAGTTTCAGAAATGTAAGATAGTACCATAGTATTCTTGAAACAAAATGTTAGATAAATGTTAATCTGTTCTTTTTTCTGTCTCCTAATATAGAAGTTATATGAGCATTTCTTCTGAAGAACCAAAGCAGAAATTTAAAAAGAATTTCTACAATTAATGGAATTCCTTCCATGCTATAAAGGAGCATCCCCCTCCTCCAGTTTTCTAAAGGTTCCTTGACCATCATTTTGAAAAGACTTTATTAAAACCAGCTAAAGACAACAGACTGGATAGCTTTTCTAATAATTTTCGCCAATAGAGAAAAAAATGTTCCTTATTCTTCAGTACTTTAAAACGGCTTTTTCCAGTGTGCTCCTTCTTAGCAAATCAATTATTTTTCTGCATTCTCTAAAAGATGAGAGCATTTGGCTATTAAAAAAAAAAATGGGCTGACTGGGCATGATTTTTCATATAAATGTGTTGGTCTTTAAAAGCGAACATAAAATTGGCACAAAAAATTTACCTTTTACAATATAATACTTGAAAAATAAGTACCTCTTTGTTCTACAAGTAGAGTGAATAGGAGAGGTGTTTAAATTAAGCCTGTTTAAATATTACTGCAAAGAGTTCTATTTGTAGAAGCAAACTATAGGCAGATTACCAGGTTCTTGTAAATGCAATTTGTACATGGACATTCTGCAAACCCAGCTGTCACATTCTTGCATCTCTTTTTGCAAAAGCATACTAAACAGTTTTAAAATGTGAAAAAGAAACATTATTTTTTCAGAGCAAGGAAATAGACTGTCCTCTTAAATAATGTATTTATAAAGTTTTTCCAGATAAACTAATCAAATAAATTAGAACAACGTGACAACATTGCAAACTTTGATTTACTGGATGCATTCCTTATGTTACCATGAGAGAATGTTCGTGATGATTCAGGGCTCTTTCTGACGTCTGTACATTGCTGCTGTCCCCAGTGATGGTGGGACTTACCTTTGCCTTACCTGATCACAAATTATGGGGAGGGGGGGGAGTAAAGATTTACTATTTCTTTAAATAAAAAAAGAATTTGGTTTTGCTCGTTTAAGAGCAAAGAAGACCTGATGGAATGTTGACTATGTTTGGCACACAGCGCACTGTGCAGGACACCTTCACAAACCTCCTCCTTCTGCGTGGTACCCATCAGCTCTGACTTTTCACTCTTCACTTTTACTGCTGAGCTTAGCTGTGCAAACTCGCACTTTCATTTGCTAATATAATTCAATTTTATTTTACCATTTTAGAAACTACTAATAACTAAATATTAAAGGAGAAGGGGCTCTGAAGGAACACTTTCTTTTGTGGAGTGTTTGGAAAGGTAAACGTCTAGCAGTATAATATGTTGGTTTTATTAAAAGAGGGATTGGTTAATCTATATTGAATGAGAAACTATTCATTTATTAAAATCCAAGCTATAGTAACAGCTGTAATTTGTGAAAACATTAATTTGGGGGTTTTCCCTATTCTCAGTTGTCCATGTACGCATAGTCATATTAAAAAAAATCTGTTCAACAAAGTTGTTTTATTTGTTTAAGTCGATCTAGCACGAAACACCAAATAAAAATGTGTTTGACATAGTTTTACTTTTAGGTTTCTCACAACTTTACTCCGATTGAGTCTTGAGTTTTCAAACTGCCCTTCATTCAATCTCAGTGACATTTCCCCAGCTTCCTCTGAATGGAAATATAGAATAGGTTTATTTAGAACAATAGTTCTATTTTGGCTAGGTTTTCTTGGTTTCATTTATATTTTTGAATTTGAGCCATCATTAACAAACTGAAAGCCTTTTAAGTAATCAAGTTTTAATTAAAAGTGATACAAAGTTAACTATAATTTATTTTTTTTTTAAGATTTTATTTATTAGAGAGCAAGAGAGAACATGAGCAGGGAGAGGGGTTAGAGAGAGGGAGAAGCAGACTCCCTGCTGAGCAGGGAGCAGGATGAGAGGCTTGATCCCAGGACCCTGGGATCATGACCTGAGCCAAAGGCAGATGCTTAACCGACTGAACCACCCAGGCACACATAAAATTAACTATATTTTAAAAACAACATTACCAGAGGATGACCTGGACCTTTACAATGGCTTGATTGCTTTCTCTCCAGCTCCTAAATGTCAGTATTCACCCGCTGATCATAAAGAGATCTTTAGTAGGTACTACATCAAGGGCAGTGCTCAGGGATCAGATATGATCCTCAGCATGGAATGAGGGTAGATGGGCCTTTAGTTTCTTTTTCACACCATTGTAGGCTGTCTAGGCCAATGTAGTCAACCAATCACAAGTTCATCTGGTAGAAGAGTGGCCTGCTTTTCCTGGAAGGGGTAAGGCCAGATGTCTCCTCTTGCCTAACCTTGTTCCCTGGTGGTATATACCATAAAAGCAAATCTAAAACAGAGTTCTTTCACATGAACATGTTTATGTTTATTAGCAAGCAGGGCCTTTGGCAAGCTTGGATAAGTTCCTTCTCTGCTCATAATCCCACAGATGCCTCGACCAAAAGATTCACAGTAAAGCAGAAGCAGTGATATTCTGAAGGCAGAAGTAACTAACCTGATTGAAACGGGCAATGCAATCTTCAATGTGTGGGGTTGGGGGAAAGATGGTACAGGAGCAAAGAGCTCTAGAGCTGAAGTACTAATCAAAAGTCTTAAGACTTGCAGGGTCTGCCATATTCTTATACCTTGTTTGATGTATTTTGCCTCTATCTTTCTAGGCATCCACTTGCCTTTCAAGTTCCATTCACTAATAAAAAATTACCTCCCTTATGCTGATTAACACTGATGTAGATTTAGATGACAGTATTTAAAGCACCCAGCCACCAATTGGAGTCCTTCAAATGCTATCTGACCTAGCCCCAGGGTAAGACTAAAATTACATGGACATGTACATCACAAAGTTGATACTAAAGCATTCTGGAGTTAAATTATTGCATATTAAAATACAACACACCAATAAATTCTCCCATCTTTTGCATTTTTTTAAAGATTTTATTGAGAGAGAGCACAAGCTGGGGGGAGGGACAGAAGGACAAGCAGACTCCCCACTAAGCGCAGAGCCAGACACGGGGCTCGATCCTAGGACCCTGAGATCATGACCTGAACCAAAGTCCGCTCCTTCACCGACTGAACCACCCAGGTGCCTCTTACATTTTCTTGATGGATGGAAATTTGACTCTTGGTCTACATTTCAATTGTGCATAGCACATGAAAAGGCATGATGAAATGGCTATCAGATCAAGTTACGAAAAGCAATTAAAAAACTTCTAAAGATGCTCTTCAAAAAAATTTCATGCCCCCGCCCAACTCCTGTTGTTACTCAGCAGACACCTACACCCGCTCAGAAGTACTCAAGATTGTCATTTTGTTACATCCTTTGGTACCTCAGTTTGGGGGAGGAACTCCAAAGACCTTGCAAGAAGAGAGAGAAAGGGACCAGCATGTGAACAGAAGGTGCAATTTTAATTTGTTACAAATTGCTAGTCAGGGAGGGATTTTCTTTCAGAGACTTTTATAGGAACCAAGTGGATGGAAGTGGGAAGGAAATATGAACAGGTAATGAAATAAATATGTGCTTTGTACAGAAATGTGAAAGCTATCAAAATGTTACATAAACATGCACATAAGACTCATGAAATGTGTTCAGTTGGTCTCTACATTTTGCAATTTTTATATCGAAATGCTTATTTTACACTTGTAAAGAAATTTTAGTTACAAAAGAGCATGGCAGATCATTCCCAAATAGTATTTTTTAACCAACAAATTTTTTAGAACATTAATTTGGGGAACTATTACAAACACAATGACCCACCAGTTGCTGTCTTGTAAAGTATTCCAAATGTAAGTCTCCTATTGGATATTAAGATAATATATTAAGAGTGGAGATAGAGGAAATACAAGGCCAAAAATCTTTTCTGATGGAAAAATAATCTATTGTTCATGTTCTTAACAGGAAAGAATGAAATGGAAACCTAGCATAGTTTAAAAACTAGAAATGTACTAGAGATGAAAACGGTATTCTGTCCTAAAGGCCTCACCGTCACTATGTTGACTTCTAGGTTTCCTGCAAATCATGACTGATATCACCCTCTTCTTAACTCTTTGAATCAGTCCAGAAAAAGGTTCATATTTTCTTCAGATGTCTCTTTTAGGCTGGGAGTGCATGCAGATATGTTTGCATTTCACTCCACCTAGGAAGCCTGCTTCTCATAGCCAAGCCACCTGTTCTTGACTCAGCCCCAGTTAGAGAAGGAAGCCAGCTGTCCAGTAAGGGGCTGCCCTGAATGTCCCCGCTGCCTGTCTATGCATCTGCTGCCTACGGATCTCAGCACTTGGCTGATTCTGCTCTGTGGTGACATCTTCCGCCGGGCTACAACTGATCCTTTGATCCATGGTGCAGGTTCTCAACAGTAATGGGACTCAAAATCCCAGCCCTTACAGAAACTACAAAAGTCACCCTGAGACAAAGAGGTCACTCTGTCCAGAGTCACCTGCAAGAATTTATGTCAAAGATAAAGCCAGGTACTAAAGTAGTAAAGGACAGATTTTATTCAATAATATACTGTTATAATGGGGGGGAGGGGGAATCCAGGGACAGTGCACCCAACTTTGTGCAGAGGTAACTGAGCATTTTAAAAGGAGAGTAAGGGGGCGATCTTGCTGGCTAGAGACAGATGTCCCCTTCCTCCCTCACCGCTCCATGTGTGTCCCTCCCAAAGCTGTGTACTCGGTCTAAGAGGACAACCTTCCTAATAAAGGACATTCTCTGGTCAAGGGTACATGAGTAGCTGCGCTCCCTGCTAGAATCTCCAAACAAGCTCTCAAGGTCCATTTGTAGGACAACGTAGGGTAGTCAAGCTTCTAAGACTCCAGACAAATCCAAACAAAATTCTGCATGTGGCAGTCTGCCTTTCTTTTACAAAAAAAAGAAAAAAGAAAAAGAAAAGGAGAATGAGGGGCTAAGCACGGCTCACAGTCAGGGAAGTGAAAAATGAACAAAAAGCTGGAAGGGGGATGTTGGTCCATGTGAAACCCATCTGGGGGTTTTATTGAAGTTGGATTCCTATCCTGCCACAGAGGCTGGGAGGTGGGCCCTACTTTCAGGTATTGGCTAGAATCAACAGTGTGTTTCTCACCTTTGCCTTTGCTTATGCTGTTCCCTCTGCATGGAATGACCTGCAGGAATGCCCTTCAGAAAACCTGGAGTCAGATCTTAACTTCAGTGTCCTCATTTGTAAAATGCTGATAATACCATGTACCTCATGTAAGGGTTTAGAGGATTACACGTGATCTAGAATGTAAAGATCTTAGCACTACGCTCACCCCACAATAAACATTTGGTATTTATTAGCTAAATAACAAGCTCATCCTTCAGTATTCCACTTGTGGAATATTCCA